TGCTTGTTCATCAGGTGGACTTTAAAGATACTGTCAAACTGGGAATTACTTCTGCTTTAACCGCTAACAACCCTTCCGGATTAATAGGCCATTCACCCCATGACTGTTTGTCCTTCCTGTGCCTCAGAATGGCTGCTATCTTTGCTGACAAAAAAATCACCCAGTCACTACTCTTGACAGTAAACTATGTGAAGTACTTTGAGAAGTTTCAGTGTGCTGGAACACTGCAAAGATGCGATTTCATTCTTTCATCTTATATAGTACTAGTTCTGTAATGCTTTCAAGATGAGACTTGCTCTTTAAGAGGCAATTATTTCACACTGTGAGATGATTGCTAACGAATGCCAAATATCAAACTAAGATTTACTGAATTAACATTTATTTAAAATTACATTTTCCACAGCCCTGTCAAAGCGTGTCATATGGTCGCTCCACTGATGGTTCGCGGGAGCCTACAACCTTGCTTCGGTGTCTGAATCTGACTTCAACATTGACAGATCGACAATGACAAGGGACACTTCTGGGAAACTTTACCCTCCACATAACAAGGCGAGGCTGAGATTGTGAGTGAAGGGTTGGAAAAATGGCCAATAAGACAAGGGAAACGTGGAGTTTGGGGCCCGATTTGGGCAGCCTTTGTGTGCGGACACATGCCAGGCAAATCGCGTAGCCTCCGCACTGCACCCACAAGATAACTGCTGGCTCCCTTGAAGTCGAAGCCTCAGTGTTTGTCATAGGTTATGTCTAAAGCGATGGGCTGATGGATCTCAAAGTTTCAAGGAGTAATAGGACAACGCAAATGGTCAAACTCTTGCGATTCTCTGCGAGAATCTCAGGAGGGAAAAAGGACAACTCGATTACATAGTCCCCAAGAGGTTGATGAATAAAAGCTGGAGTTTTCTTTTTGCATTCACTGAAGCAGATACTTTGAGCGAAAATGGGAGTGTATGGGGTCAGTATGGGGGTGATGAGCAGGTTGAGTGCTGTCACTGCAGCTGTGGGGAGAGTCTGAGGAAGCAGTGGAGTGGGTGGCTGTGGTTATGCAGAGGTTGGAGACCACTGTACAAATGTTGGTCTATTCTCATTGAATGTCTAGAAATAAACCAGAAACATAAACACACTTTTAAAAACTGGTGTCAGCCTTTCCATCAACGGGAATGTGCGTTCAAACGGAACCTCTCCAAAGAGGAAATTGTGGTTTGTTGACGGCACAACAACAATAATAATAATAATAATCCTTGCATTTGAATATAGCGCCTTTTCACGTCTTCGAGATGTCTCAAAGCGCTTCACAGAATATACTGTAAAGTGAATTGACTGTATATTTGTGGGCAAAACGTAACAGCCAATTGCGCACAGCAGTGTCCCCACAAACAGTCGTGGATTGAAGTGACCAATTTTACTACTGTTTTTGTTTCTTGAGCGATTATTAGCAGGCATCTGGAGTAAGGAATCTTGCCCAAGGCTTCGCCCTGACCTGCCAGGAATCGAACCCAGGACTCTCGCTTACGAAGCCGAGCGCTCTAACCACTGAGCTACAGAACTCCTTCATAACAAACAGCATGAACGCAAGGCAAATCTGAATTCATTCCATTGGCCTGAAGTTGCTGTCAATGTTACTTGCAGCACCACTCAAGACCACAAGTTTGGTTCCGATGAAGAAGACCCTTCGGCCCAACTGATGGCATCCTTTTAGAACGCCCACCCTACCGGCCAGCATCAAGCTTTTTTATTTATAAATGAATCCAGGCCCTGACCCACCCTTCCTAGAAACCTGTGGCGTTCCCTGTGGCTTACGGGATTTCTCTTAGTTTAATCACACATAGCCAAAGGTGCCTCATGTACGCGCTGATCTGGATGTCAGTCCATTCCCCGTACAGTTTAAGACTTGCCCAGGTGGGATCTAACACTTGTGAGCTTATTTACCCCATGCGGTGTATATGTCTACCCTTTGCTTGAAAAGTTACAGTGGCTGCACATTGCGGTTTGTCGATTTCACTCCTAAATGCAACAGTTAACCTGCAGCCCTTGATCCTGAATGACTTGCTGTCTGCGTATTGAGGTCTCTCTGCAGCTGGTTGTCAAGTTTACTCGATGCTGATCTCCCAGGCTCAATGTGCCAAAACCACCAAGTGCTCCAGATGGCTGAAGCCATTATTATTTGCGTTTCATTTAATTGCTGTTTCGTGTATGTTTGCCAGTAAGCGCCTAATTTGAAGTCAGTATTGCGATCGTGGACATGCTCCCGCCGAGATTTGGATTGAGATTTTCAGACCTATTTGACGAGAAACCTTCAGCGGCCTTCAAAGTAAATGCATTCCTAATTCCATTTGGCCAGACTACATTTGGCTGCCGGTGCAAGATGTCTGTGGGATGTCATAACTTTTTTTGCCTCAATCTTCTTCGCTCCTCTCCCAAAGGCATTGACTCATTCCGTGGTGTCAACTCTGTGGCTCTGGTTCAACAGTACCCTGGTCCTGAGCACAAGGCGATATCCTTCATGGGTTAGCTTAGAAGCGTCAGTGGGCTTTCCGACAGTTGGAGAGCCACAGTTAAGCCAAATGCTTTCCTCGCAGGAAGATGTCATGCGTTCCCTTTCCATCAGCGGTCATTGGGTATTTACCTTCAAATCCCGCCTAAAGACCTTCTTTTTGATCATGCTGATGGCCACCTCCCACCTCGCTTTCCCCCTGGCCGGTTGTCAGACTCCACCACTGTGAAGCTCTCCTGGACGCTACCCTGTGTGAAGGGAGCTATATAAATGCAAGATGTTGTTACAAAATCAGGAGTAAGTCCCAACTCAATGGCTGAATGCTTTTCCTTCCCCGCTAAGCCTTTCTATTACTATCGCCCTTCTGAGATCAAGCATTGAACTTGCGACACCAGTTTTATGTTTCTGGTTTATGTCCAGGCATTCAATGAGAATAGACCAACATTTGTAACAGTGTGTCTCCGGCAGAGAAAGTGAATTAACCTTCTTATGATACAGAAAAGGATGGCTTTAAACGTGGTGATGCCTCGCAGATGGCACGCTGATTAGTTTTAATATCCTTTGAACCTCTGGGAGCCAGCTACAGACTTACTCCAGATGGATAGGATGAGATGAGGATCCAATGGTAAGTAGGTTTTGGGCTGCCTCAACTCTGCCTCTGTTAAATAAGCGCTCCCAGTACAAAACAGACCAAACATGGTACCAGCTGGCACTATCACACTTGTTGTACCTAATCTGACAGCAGACATCAAGCTCATTTTGAATCATATTTCACAAGCCAGGTCATAGCGACTGTTCACAATTGGACAACTCCCAGCTCCATCTGAAATCTTTATTACTGTTAATGTACCCAAATGAGAAATGGTTCAGAGGATGCGAAAAATCTCCAGTAAAATCTGGCAATAAACTCATCGCAACCACCCACTGGCACGCAGCCTACACACCACAAACCCTTGGGTTCAGCCTTCGCTGCGCGTTGATTTGGGGGAAAAAAATAGTTGCCGCAAAGCCAATGTAATAGGAATTGGATGATATGAGGGTGTTGTGTTTTTGCCAATTGCTTGACTGGAGCTGACACAATGTTGAATCATTGCCAGATTGCTACCTTAGGTCCATTTCGTTGAAAGCGAGCTGTCAAGGGCTGCTTTAGATTTGACAGCTGAATCCTGAGATTGTTATTTTACACTGGGACAAGCGGTAGTGCAGCATAAAACTCCTGATGTGGCGAGGGCGGTGCCAGCCACTGGGCAGTAAAATAACTGCAACAACAAAAACAACAACAAATTACATTTGAATAGCACCTTTCGCAAACAGTTTTAAAGCTGGCAAGAACCTTCGGAGGAGGAAGGCTGAGATCTCGGCATTGAATATCAACTTGCAGAGTTTCAAAGTAATTTATAAAACTCCAGCTGCTATTTAACTGCTATTCCAGAGATGCAGGTGATCAATATCATCTCCCCTTCACAAGGTGACCGATCCTGATTGGTTTAAGGCAATCCAGTGCCTTTCCTGGTACGACTAACTTTGCGGCAATCCAAGGTTAATTACCTAAAGCCGATCAACGAACAAAACACTAAAATTGCAAATAGAAGTGACCCGAATTGAGAGGAGGCACGAAATTAATGATTTTAAAAAAATCGGAGAAAATTGAATCGTAAGCTGCTTAGAATTTACAGAAGAAAATAGTGTGAACAGCAGCAGTTTTTAAATATCACGCCAGCATTTACACAATAACAAATCTTTACATTTGATATAAGGTCCTTCATCGGATATACTGTGAAGTGTAGTAACTGTGTTTCCACAAACAGTGACTAACCAATTTTTATTTGAAGAGAGGCTCTCTTGGCCAGGACACTGGGAGAAACTCGCTTCTCTTTTTGAACACACGGTCAGAACACAGTACGGTATTTACAAAAGTATTTGCTGACGAACCAGTGCAATCTTGTGGATAGTGGATGCCAGCTTTTGTAGCTCGCGTGCAAGTTACACAGCATACTTTATCCCACGTATGCCTGGACTTTCATGGTTCTTTCCTTCAAGCGGTTTAGCTGTATTAATAATGGCACACAAGAAATTTAGTTGGAGCCTTTGTCTCGCAACGCATCGAAACTGTTCCAGAAAACCTGGTATTTCATAGCTTTATGTGAGTTCACTGTTTAAATTTTAGCAAACAGAAGTACTTCTGAAAAGCTCACACCAGTTTAGAAAAGCTGAAGAGCAGCTTCAGAAGCCTTTATGATTTTGCTTCTTAGATTTGAAACGTAAAGTGTTGTTTGAAAGAAACGTTGCAAAGAAATGCCGGGGTGTAAAAGAAGCGTTGTGTGAGTTGATAATTTTCCCTGATAAAGCTCACGTCACGTATCGCAGACTCTACCTCCTGTTAAAAGCAACCTTGACGGCCGTTTTCTGTTCGACTTGCAAAGGCAGTCACCGCGACTGGGCGATGCCGTTGCTTATTGTCCCTTTTGGCGTTAGAAACACGATGGTTAAAACCACAGGCTCTTGTTGTGCTTATTTTAATTAACTTAAAAGGCAGAGAAAAAAAGACATACGTGTCAAAAGGATACAGGAGTTGCATACATTTGGAAAACAAAACAATAAACGTTCTACCTTGCTTCCAGAGCACCAGCTAGAGTATAGAAATGTGATTGTTAGCCTGCAAAAGCATTAAGGCGGTATCTTGCCTTGACAAAGCCTTTACATAACTGGTTCGCAAACATTTCGGGTCTTTAATCAATTCCTACAAACGTCTGTGCAAATCCGTCGAGATCTGTGTAAATGCGGAGAGTTGCGGGTGGTCCGACGTGTTTCCTTATGGCGCAGGGTTTTCAACCGCCTTCTTCTTTGGGCCCGTGGCCTTTTTCTTGGGCGGGGTTTGCTTTTGCCGGGGCGGTACACCGTTGGGCCTCTGCAGGCGAACCCTGGCATCGTTCAACTTCCCGGATTTCATTTCGTCCACAAAACCCTCGATGTCTACGAACTTTTCGCTCAGGTCCCCAAGGTGTTCCTTCAGGGCGTTAAATTCCTTAAACAGGTCATCGAGTGCCTCCGAGAGAGGAGAGATCCTAAAGGTGGGGGTGGGCGGGAGGGGGGGGGGAACAAAGCCGCAGACTTGATTGTACATATTAAAATGGCTTTGTTTCTGCTTGTGATCAAATTACCCGTTCGTTGCTTAATTATTTCTTTCCTGCTTTTTGGTCAGCCTGCACTGTAGGTCACTGTGGTCGAGAAGGAAGATGGGAGACGTTTGCTCAACAATAATTTTAGCTGCGAATGCTGGGAGGTGTAAGAGCGACACGGGTTTATTTTCTGTCAGATATCCTCTCCCTCTCTGGGGGCAAGCAATCCGAATCTATTTCTCCTAGTTAGTCATTGAAGGTCTCGAGCAGATCGGTCCTTAGCTACAAAGCTGTGGGTTGGCATCTAATTATGTGGTGTTGGAGCAGGGAGAATTATTCTGTGGTTTTAATCAGTTAATAAGGATTTTTCTACAAAGCCGCTTTCTTTTGAAAACTGAAGAAAAAGCGCCTTCCACGTTAATAATAATAATAATAACAATAATCCTTGCGTTTGATATCGTGCCTCATCATGTCGTTGAGACATCTCAAAGTGCTTCACAGAATATGCTGTAAAGTGTAGTGACTTGTGGGTGAAACGCGCCAGCCAATTGCGCACAGCAGATCCACCTTCCTTGGAAACTGGAGAGAAACGGGTGACTTTAAAGCTATAGCCTTTGCTTTCCAAAGTTCCGAAATATTGTTGTAAGTGGGTGAAAACCATGCTTCGCTTTCAGGCTTCCATCTCAGTATTATACTAGCAATCTCTGTCTCCTCCTCCCCACCCACCCACCCCCTTCCACTGCGATGCCCAAACCAACATTTTCACAATTTCCTGTTGCATTTTCATCTCAGACTGTGCTCGGATCAATTGCAAATCACGCCAAGACATTCGATGTCTTGGTGTGTTCTGGCCTGTTAACCTCTCTCTGAAAAGACATCACGCTCGTTCTACTTTCAGGGGCGGAATCTGTCATTTTCAATGAACGTATCAGACACACAAGATAACTTAATGATACACCTCGCTGCAGCGCGATGGTGGTTGCTGTTGCATTAGACCTTGTCACAACAAATGCAGTGTTTGTCTCAAATATTCACTCAGCTGTTATGAAGCCAGTGTAACCCACTTGCACTCAATCAGTTCCATTGGATTAAATAAAGCCTTATCCTCGGAAAGTGTTACAATTGTCTATTTCGAGCGAAATGCGGACTTGACCTGCCAAAATTAAGCGCTTGGAGGGGACCTGTACTGCCGAGCCTCAAGTCCAATTTTAATGGCTTAGATTAGGTTTCGTATTGAGTAGAAAGGAGCTGCCATTAGTGGCCAGCTCAAAACAAACTGATGTCAGAATCCTGAAACTAAAGCCGCTTTGCTCGTTCTTGTTTAACTTAAACCAACAAGAATGCATTTAGTGTGGTGCTGCACCATCATCCAACCGGTCCCCATTCTCTGGAATTCTGTGCCAGAGTCACACTGACTGACTCATCCCCTCCCAACCCACTTTCAAAGCAACAACAACATTTGTAATAGCGCCTGTCACGTGGGGAAGATGTCCCACCTCAAGACTTAACTCTTTGACTGTGCCTTTAGTCATCTATCCCCTCCCCCCACCTGCCCAACCCACACCCACGCACACACCTCAGTGCCCGGCCAGCTGTATAAACCACTTGGAGAGCCCCCACCCAGCGTGAAGGATTGTGGCATCCCAGGGGAAAATATTCTCATCACAACAGCGTTTTGGCCGAAGGCAAAGAAACCGAGCAATCAACACGACATGCAGTAAATGTCCATCACCTGGCGTAATCGGGGAGGAGAGCCTGGTGATCATTCAGCAGCAGGTTTCTGAACTGAGCCATGATGTCAAATCTCCAGTTGTCCAGTACCTGTGTCAAATTGGCAACTCCACGGACGTCGACTTTATCAGCTACAAAACAATTGAAATATTTATTCGCATCTGATCGATATCGACACTTCTGCTCTAAATACAAACTGTTAGAAAAGTCCCTTAGTTGCTTCTCGCCTTACTTGGCAGTAAATCCCTTCGGAAGATTCGCGACTGAAAAGGAAACTGGCATTTAGAATCCCGCACTAAAATTGTGAGATCTGTCCTGCACTGAACAGATGTTAAAGGTGTAAAGTTGCGATGAAGTTGTGAAACTCTGGCATCAGAAATGCTATCTGTTTATGTGGAATAAAGTTGTGTTAAGTGTCACAGTGCTCTTTTTTCAACAGATCTAACTCTTCAAGAGCTGAATATTCCAGACATTTCTGACAAATAAGAGATTGATCAATACTGTGTACATTCTATTATTTCTAATTTAGATAGTGTGAGCTAATTTGCAGTAATTCTTAACAGATTTCTTAAAAGGACTGTATAGTTATTCTATTTCTAAATCACCATTGGAATAGGCATTCCTTCAGTGCAATACGTGCTTTGTAAATGTACTTATTACACATTAACATACCCCCCCTCCAAAGAAAAATGATCCTGATAAATAATGACAACCACGTCTATAATTTGCGAGATACACGGAACATTTGGATTGTTGAATCAAGGCATTTTTGAGCAAAAAAATGCTACTTGAAGTGAACACGTGCAATAAATCGTAAAGGTAACTTACATCCATCTTTGTAATTCCATTCACCGTATTGAACAGTCTTTTTTTTGCAATTCACTAAAATCAGGGAAGACACAAGGAACACAAAAAATCGACAAAGCATCCTGAGCTGAAAGTGCGGTCCTTTGCAACCAACCGCCCTGAAATACAGAGAAATGGGAAAGTTACCTGTAGCATGAGATCGATTAAAAATTACAATGCTAGTCCAAGATAACTTCTAAAGGCAGTTCTTAAGCATTTTCAGTTGCATCGGTAAGAGTGGCAGTCTTTCCGAACTACACACTACATGCTTAATAACGAGTTGTAATTATTATGACAGTACAATAAGTCGAGGTGATAGCGTTACGGTTAAAACATACAAGCGATCACATGCCCTGTGCTGGACTCAGTGTGTCCGCGAAGTTCTTCCGTGCAACAAATAGCATCAGAGCTTCAATCTGGAATTAATTTAAGCCTTGTGTTGGAAAAGTGTAGAGGTGGCCACTGCATCACATGTTCAGGGAGTGCAAAAACAGAAAACAAGTACTTGACTGTCTGCAAATATATTCCAACCACATGTTTTACATTTATTCGCTGCAGAAATTATATTCCTTCAGTTTCAAGAACAGGCGGAGATTCTGACGGAAAGCAAGATGCATAATTCTCTCCACACCGCCACAGCATCGATACCAAAAACCCTTACGTTGTTTTGTATTGGATAGAAGTTCAAACCTTTGACAGAGCCATCAATGCTATCGCTAAGTGAACTGCCGTAAGCATCAATAGAAGAAGAAAAAGTACCCGGGCAGACATTTTCTCGATTCATAACTTAAGTAGATTCACGTGTAGTGACTGCGTATTTTAAAGGCGAAGGCAGCAGCTGATTTGTGCGCCTCAATGTCTCACCATCAGCAATGCTTCTGTCAACCATTTCTGAATTTCTGCACTTGTAAGAATTAGTAAATAGAGAGTTTAAGATGCAGAAGGTGCCCCAGCTCATTTTTCTTTCATAGTAATAAACATACTGTCCTGTCCTGCCTCCCCCACCCACCACCCCAACCTTACAATATGTAACTTTATCTTAAATGCGTTCAGTATCCTGGCCTCAACAACCCTGTCTGGTAACTCTCTGTGACACTCTTTGCTCAAAAAAAAANCTGGGTATCTTTCCAAAAACTTGCTCTTCACAATGTTGAACTGGTCATTTTTGAACAAGAGTAAAAATAGTCCCTTTTCACAAAATTGATATGTTTATATCAAATATACCAAATATCTAACCTAACCGCTCATTTTACTCTTGTGGAAAGAGATAACAAGTGCGAATGGTCGCTGTGTTATCTTTAAACTTGGAACAGTCGAAGGTTTTTCCTGAATGGATTTGACAGATGATGATTCAGCGGTTTGTTGATGTGCCCTCCATTTAGCTGCCGCACGACGACAATACATTCCCCCTCTAGGGATCTGGAGATTAGTTTCAGGACATATACTTTAACCTGTGGACGTTTTCGGGGTTTCAATCACCAGACCAAGGTGTCAGACAGAAATCCATCCCCGAGCCTCCCACTTGCAACAATAAATGAAAACAACTAAGGATGATCTTCATTAACCTTCCTAAAACCTACATAATTTCAGAAAATTGACTCGTGTGGGGACAAATGATGGTCATTCCCACGCCGATATTTCATTTGCATGCAGATCTACGGCTGAACTTGCCTCAATCAATGAGCACAGGAGACTGGATCTAGTGACTGGTGTTCAACTAGAATTATCCTAGGCCATTCAATATCCTGTCCTGTGCTCATTTTAAGTCCTGTTTGACACCAGTGAATTCAGACAAAGCACCACATAACAGGTGGGAATTTGTGTTCTGAAACGATCTGAACGTAAGCCACGTCGACAAATAATTTTCATGCAGAATACATTTGGGAATAAGTCTTAAAACTTTCTTTTGTGCTGTTCCGCTACCAAGGCCATCCACTGTTTGTGGGATACTGCTCTGTGCAAATTGGCTGCCGCCTTTCACCTACAAAATACATGTCTGAAGCAATAATAATATGTAATTAAGAATTGTGAAGTTTTACTTATTCATTTTTTAAAAAATGTATATAAGACAAATTGTGAACTATGAACAATTTTCTGCCATTTGTTTCGTAAAAGCATATCATTAGTGACTGCCAGTGGTCATTTCCGCCTTTTTTTTGACATTGTGGTGAGGATTTAACGTCTAAAAAAAGGATTCTTGAGGCACACACACATGGAACGCGTTGAATTGTACTGATTTTTTTTCACTTAGGTCAGAGTACAGCAGCATACAATATGACATGGTAAAAATCTTAAGGTAACATTTTGGACTATAATCTGGAAGTATAATCATGCTTCCTTACTATATGGATTGCACAGAATGTGACGTTTGATGGGATAATAATCAGCAGTCATATTATTATAGTTAGCATTTCTGCTCCCAGTTACTGACATGCTTCTCTGTTTACTTTACATTTCTCGGCATCACGTTTTGTATTTGGGGTTCATCTGCCCCAATTTTGCTAAATCTCTTTAGATCTACACGGAATGCCATTCCTTTCCTCTGGATGTTCAGAGTTGACGCACAAATATCTGCAAATTTCCGGTTTTAATAATGTCAGATGAGTACTATATCCACGGCTGTCAATGATTTCTGCATACTTGCCGTATTTAATCATCAATCTTAGATGTTGCGCGTGTGTGTGTGTGTCTGTGTGTTTTTCAAACACAGCAGAGCACGGAAACAGACTGTGACAAAGACACTTCTTGATTGATGTGCAAATCGATCAACTTCATGACAACAGGGTTTATGCTTGCAACGATCTAAGCAGCAGAGCCAGACCTGTGGTCTTTTGCAAAGTACGAACGCACTCTGTACAATGCGAAAGCTCTTTTCAACTTTCAACAAGGGCATGCGGTAGTTTAAAAGTGAAGTGCAATGCATAAAAGCTTATAAAGTTTACATAGACTGCACAGTACCAAAGCAGTCTATTTGTCCCAACCAGCTAGTGTCTCCTAATCCTCTCCTGATCCCCTTTCCCAATCCACCACCCCATCGCTCCAATACCGACTGTACCTTTCTCCCTTAGAGATGTTTCGGTGAAGAAGGCCCTTTGGGCCATTCAACCGTTTCCCCTCAGTTAACTTTAAAACATCAGTGAGATTGAAGAATCTAGTTATGGAGTTAGTCCAACTCCTGTATATTACTAGCCACTTTTTATTTAAGAATAAAATCAACACTGGCATTCCTGTTGCCAGGCTGAGCATTTAAAGGAATTGTTCACAAGATCCCAGTGATAGGATGACCATATTTTGTAAACTAAATCTGGGGACACACATATATATAAAAAAAATTAACCCATCACTGATGCCTTCTGATGCCTGCAGCATTGAAGAAGCTTATTGGATTGATGGCTGTATTTCTCTGATGAGTATATCTGATCAAAATTTTATTCAGGAAATTAGGGACATATGGTCACCCTACAAGAGTGAGGTTGGGATGAAGAAAAAAGTCCCTTCGGCCTATTTGACCGCATCATTCCAGAATACCCACCTTATTCTCCTCTTATCACAGCATCAAGCTTTTATTAATATAAAAATGAATAATAATAATAATCCTTGCATTTGATATAGCGCTTTTCAGGTCTTCAAGACGTCTCAAAGCGCTTCACAGAATATGCCGTAAAGTGAATTGACTGTATATTTCTGGGCGAATCTCAGCATTATGGCCTCAAACACCTTCCTGGTAATCTGTTGCAGTAGTTAATTTCGTGTCACAATTGGTGGCGATGAGTGATTGCCATTTCAATTTATTCGGGTATGTGGTTACTGCTGGCAACTGCACTAATGTCTTACCAGCAGCACTCAGCAACACACTGGTTCAATCTCTTTAAAGTGCTGGTAGCATCAAGACAACCCTCATAACTGCACGCAAAGTAAATGTGACACGTTGCCCTTAGCCTGAACGTAGCCATAACCTAACTTGAACTTTTTCTTTTTTGAAAAACAGGTTAAAGAAATGTCCACCTAATGTAAAAAAAAGGTGTATTTTTTTACTGGAGCAAAGTTGCCATTTTCTTACAAGACCCGGTGAGGGCAGGGGTTCGGGGGGGGGGGGGGGGTGCGTGTGGGGGAGCAAAGAACCACAATGAACACAGCAAGTTCTGGTCTTGTTTGTGAATGTTTCACATCAGATTTTAGTACCAAGTCATTAGACATTGTTCCCTGGAGCTATATGCAAACTCATTAGGCGCACGTTCCTAGGACGACATTTCACCTATAATGAAGGGGCATCTGGGAAGTCTTGCTGTGAGCTGCGCACATTAACTTATTGAACATTTGGTTCCAGCCCTGGTAAACATCCTGACACCTACTGTTTTATTTCCAACCCTGTTTGGGAACATTTCTACACGAGCGCTACGTTTTCATTAAGGCTTAAGAAATTACTCGGATTTAATTTCCTGCAGTTTTCCATAAACCCTTTACAACTGTAAAGTAAATCATAGAAATAGATCTTTTTACTTTGACACAGTATTAGCTTGTGTTAATGCCTTTTATGCCAAGCAATGAAAAGCATTTGACTGAAAACACATGCTCCGAAGGAGCCGTCAACCAAACTTTATTTAACAATGAAAGGTGAGAAATTCCGCTTTTAGGTCTAAGCTCACTCGGTATAGCATTTCCAGAATTTGCAGATTTTGACATAATATTGGTTTCAGCCTTGAATTCAAAACTACTTTGTTTGTTTGTATATATCTCAAGGAAGTTGCAGAAAAACAGTTTCAAAAGTAAAGCTGTACTTAAAGAAATGCTAAGAAAACAGAATAAATCTATACTCAGGTGAAATTTCTCCCTCGAACTCTTCATTGATTGATTATTTTTAACAAATGTAGCATATTTTAAACATCCGAAACTCATTGGAAAATCAAAGTGAAGGTGGCCTGAATTCTAACAGTTATGTGTGATAGATTTTGCGCGCTTGATATTATGTTGAGTGTATAGCAATTCAGTCACTCATGACCTGAGATCTTCTTTCCCTTCAATAGATTTAGTGGTTTAAGCATTGATCCAATAGTCCTTAATGTTTGTTGTTGCTAAATCTTTTTTTCAGCTCTCGACAGTTTCTATCCTGGAGGCACATTGGTACTTTTCTTTTCACAGCAGTAGTGTTCAACTACCTCATGCAAACAGTTACCATTCCTACGTGAGTTTTGACAGTGAGTCTTGGCCAAGTCAGTCAACCAATGAGAGGCATCAACAGCTGAGCTCAATGTATCAGTGTCCCATAGCAATACAATATACCTCCAAATAATGGAGGTGGGGGTGAGGTGGGGGTAATGCTCTGCATTAGGAGCAGGAACCCTATTTGATTCTATTCCCCTCCTCAGCCTCGGAGCAATGATGTCAATTACACTGCCCAAACTACCGTAAGAAAACCCAGCAGAGATTTAGTGATGAACATTGCTGCATTTGGTGCGTTCGCCCACTAAACCACTAGTGGAGCCAAACAATTGTGTTTCAAGCTGATCTACTTAGCCTAAATTTTCTATTAAATAATTTTGCTTTCTTACATCATGTGTTATGGACGAATAGGATGCAATTCTGATTAATCAACAACGGCAACAACCTGTACTTATGTAGCACCTTTCATGTGGGGTGGCGTCTCGGAGCGCTGAATCGTGCCAGAGCTGGATGCCGAACTGGGGCAAGGTCACAGTAAGTACAAATGAAGATTATGGGGGTTGACATAGAATCATAGATTCTAAATCACATCGAAAACGAGTCTAAAATAATAATATAATCAAATAATGTATTTTTGGGCATCTTCTTAATGCTAAAAGTGCATATGTACCTAATTATTCTTGAATTGAGTTCAGTTATTTCAATCGTCTGGCTCAGAGAGCTTGCTTTCCACATAGAATTTGGCAATGGCTCCCTTTTTGCAATTTTAATTTTATTAATTCCAGAATAAGAAACTAAATATAGACGGACCTTATTGTGATGTGGGCACTAGCTGTATAAGTACACTTATGCAATGCAAAGAAGGTTATTTTTACTTTTAATGGGCACATATCCTTTTGTACTTATGCCACGTAGGCAAAGCTTTTTCTTCCCCAGTGGCACATGCTGGTTTATTGCCCAGCTTAATCCAACTTTCTAAACAGTTATATCCCTTCTTGAGCCGACATCTTTTAAAAATTTTGCATGATGGTCCAACTTATTTGCCAATCAACGTGCCAATCAGGAAAAAACAAGGCTTTGAAATTACATAGTGTTTATTCCAAATCCTAACCATTTGTGCAAAGTAACTATCAATCTCAGGAGTATATGGGGGAAAAAAAGGCTATTCATTTGAATGACTTATTCTCAAGAGCTATTTCCATCTGATGAACATTCAGATGAGCTGTTTCTTCCTGGTGAGCTTTCCAGTTCTCCCTATATCCTGATGCGTACGTTTGTTTGACTTAAGGCTTTGTCAATGCTTCCAGATTTCAGTCTTTAGAGAATAATAATAATAATAATAATAATCCTTGCATTTGAAATAGCCACTTTTTCAGGTCTTCGAGACCTTTCAAAGCGCTTCACGGAATATGCCGTCAAGTGAATGGACTGTGTGTTTGCGGGCGAGTGGATTGAAGGGTGTGAGGCTCAGCGAGCCGGCGGCGGTGCCTATAACGGCCTCCTTCCGCGCCGCGAAGGTTTCCAGCTTCCCCGGAAAATAAGACGTTGAGTGTGCGGAGCCAAGTGGGGGGTGTGGATGTGCCTTTCTTTGTCCAGGTAGGGGTGAAGTGGGCAGACAGGCAAAAGAGCCGGCCAGGATCAAAGATGGCGGCCTCCAAGACCGTCACAGCGGTGGCCACCAAAGAGCCGGCCAGGATCAAAGATGGCGGCCTGCAACCCGCTCCAGCGGCGGCAGCCGGCGGGCGCTTCCGGTCCTCGTGACTTCCGGTCGGTTTCCACGACGACGGCGGGCGGGCGTCGGCCATTGACGACGACGACAACCCCCCCGAAAAAAAACGGTCGGTTGTGTGGGGTGGGGGGGGGGGACACAGTGGAATAAAACTCTTTTTTTTTGTGTGGGGGGGGATTGGCTGTATCTGTGTGTGTGTGTGTGTGTGTGTGTTCTCTCCACCAACAATGAAAAGAGAGACTCGAAGAGGAAAATAAATCCACGTGAAGCGGTGAGATGACGCTGGTGCCGATCAAGGACGGCGAGTACACGGCCACCATCTACAAACTGGTGAGCTGACCGACCGCCTGCCTCCACCCCAGCCGCCGGGGGGAAGGAGGGGGCGTGGGGAGGAAAGGAGGAGGAGGAGGAGAGGTGGAGGAGGAGGAGGAGTGGGGGGATGAGGATGGAGAGAGAGGAGGAGGAGGGGGTGGAGGAGGAGGGGAGGGGGGGGGATGAGGATGGGAAGCGGAGGAGGGGAGGAGGAGTGGGGGAATGAGGATGGAGAGAGGAGGAGGAGGGGAGGAGGAGTGGGGGAATGAGGATGGAGAGAGGAGGAGGAGGAGGGGAGGAGGGGAGTGGGGGATGAGGATGGAGAGAGAGGAGGAGGGGAGGGGGGGATGAGGATGGGAAGAGGAGGAGGGGAGGAGGAGTGGGGGAATGAGGATGGAGAGAGGAGGAGGAGGGGAGGGGGTGGAGGAGGAGGGGAGGGGGGGATGAGGATGGGAAGAGGAGGAGGGGAGGAGGAGTGGGGGAATGAGGATGGGAAGGAGGAGTGGGGGAATGAGGATGGGAAGGAGGAGTGGGGGAATGAGGATGGGAAGAAGAGGGGTGGAGGAGGAGAGGAGGTGCGGGATGAGGATGGAGAGAGGGACGAGGAAGGAGGGGGACGGATGAGGAGAGGGCGATGAGGAAGGAGGATGAAGAGAGGGGGGGGGTGGGGAGGAGGATGAAGGGGAGGAAGCGAGGATAAGGAAGGGAGGGGGTGCGAATAAACGCAGTGACGTGCGGTTGACGGTACATCCTCCGGCCGCCTTTCATTCCCCCACAGGCTCCGTGAGCCCCTCACTCCAGCGAATCGAGTTCAAGATCCTCATCCTTAAATCCATCCTGCAGTCTCTTCGCCCACCCCCCCGCCTCCACCCCCCCGCCTCCACCCCCCCGCCTCCCCAAACCTCTGCCGACCCACCCGCTCCCTTTACTTCACTCAGCGGACACACCGGTCTGCTTTGTGTCTGCCCCCCCCACCTGCCTCACCATTGGCAGGTGAGCCAACGCTGGGGCAACAGAGAGAGAGGTTGCAAGCTTTGAACCTCTCTGTGCCCTCCCACCTCCCGCTCTGTGGAACTCCATTCCGGAGACCGCCTGACCCACGCGCATTCTCCCTCACCTCGTTCAAGGTCCATCTCAAGACCGATCTCTTTGACCGGTCATGTTTCCACTCCCAATCAGCTCCCGCTCACGTTTTGGGTGCCCAGCCAGGACTGTTACGCGCTTTGGGAACGTCCTCCCAACGTGAAAAGCGCTGCGTAAATGTAAAGTTTTCTTATCGTACTGTATTGGTGGCATATCCTGGCCAACATTCTCGTCCCAGAAAAAAAAGATTTACCAACTTCACAGCAGCTTGTGGAGCATCGCTGGGCAAATTGGCGGCTGAGTCATTCCTGTAAAAATACACGATGATTATCCTTTACAGAAAAATGCTGCGGAGCGCTTCGAGATATTTTGCCATGTTATGAGGCACTATATCAAATGCAAGCATTATTATTATTCAAAACCAGAACACTTTCTTTAAAGCTGTGTTTTTCACAAAAAAAATTCAGAGTTCTGCCCAAAAGGTTCACGTTTTATTGTAAAGCTGAAATGTATGGTTTTTTTGTGGGTTCATTGTGTGTTAATTATCAGTAACAACCAATTTCAGTACATGAAAGGCGCTATACAAATGTAATTTTGTTGTTATTATTTGGTGCATCTTTTTGGTTCAGATTCGAGATGGCAAATATGGAGAAGTCATTCATATACTTAGTAATGAACTACAGAAACATTCAAAAGTAAGTATTCTACTTTTAGTCGACTCTCTTATAGATTTAATTTTTTTTAGAAACTTGATATATATTGGTCTTAACAACATTAGAGGAAACACCTTTCGGATCTAAAACTAGATGATGAGAATAGTATTGAACCATTCACCAGCCAGTGGAGATGATAAGTTCTGGAAAGCAATGAAAATCTTAAAAGGGTCTAATGTGGATTCAATAGTAACTGGATTCCTTAATAAGGAATTGGAAATATGTGACCACAACTTGAAATACAATATAAAATTATTTAACGCATTTCGCTTCAGGAGGACATCTCAAAGCGTTTGCAGGATCTCTGTTCCAATACAGTCAACTTTCAATGAAGAGTTCCTGTCAGTTGGTGCTGTACTACCAACAACAACAGCAACCACTCCATTTCCTTGAAAAGAAATTCCATTAGAAATCAGCGTACAATAGACACCATAAAATAAGCTCAGGATCCATTGCTCGGAACTTAGAACTGTTCTGTGGTTCAGTACACTTGTAACTGGAGTGATGGGAACTGTTTGTTAACTTACTTTTGCAGCGTGACAACACAGTTTTCAACAGTTTAAAAGCTGTGAAGTGCATTTGTTCTGAAAAGGTTAAAGGCATGAGATTTTCAATTTTTTTTCCCATTTCATACAAAATGCGTGTTTGGTGAAATGAGTTTACTTTTTTCAATTCACTATTCTATCTAATACATGAATCCGGGTTATTTAATTAAATCACTTTTAAGTTGCTCACTTTGAACTGCGGAGGAATATTAAAACAGTACTGGGCGGTTCATCGGTGAAGGCAACTCATTCGCACAGCGGATGTTGCCGTAAAATTTATTGACGAATTGAACAATACAACGTAACGTGGAACAGTGCAGTGGGTTATATTTGCTCACCCATAAGCAAATATACCATTTTATTACAGAATGATACAATATCCCATCCCCAAGTAAATATTACAAATGTCATCTCAAGCCATTGAAGTGCTGATTTGACTGCACCGAGCACACAGAGATTTCTGAAGAGCCAGGCATCAGATTTTCACAGTAATTATCTCAACCGCTATTCAGGGACTTTAATCTCTTCTGCAACTACCCGCTGATTCTTTGTCATTTTTTCAAAAGATGTACTGTTAACTTCAAAATAGTACGCATGGATTGAAGTTTCATTTGTCTAATGGACCAAGAATTATTAATAGTATTTAACTGAACCCATTAAAATTCTATGAATCAATGGAAATAGATAGTAAATTATCTTGCTGTATGCCGCTGTAAGCTACAGTAATTTCTTATAGTGAAAAAGAAATGCTGCAATAGTACAATGTAGGATTAGTCATACATTTTGGTTATGGATCTAAATACTTCAACACTTTCAGGTTCTTGAGCGATACGTCCACAAAATATTGAGAAATGTAACACGAGTTGATTTTTTTTAACATCAGCAAATAATACAAGATCAATGTCTTTGTCTCCAGTTGTAAAAATGCTGCCAATAAAATTATATTAAATTGAGTTTTTCTGGTGATGAATCAGACATTTAGTTTTGCAAGTGTGGTTTTACGGTTGACGTTTTTTCATGGTTACTGTTTTGCTACGGACAAAAACTTATCATTGTTAAAAAAGTATAACTAATCCAGTAGCTCTGTTGACGTATTTTGTTTTTGTCTACAGTCTCGGGCAGCCTTGTCTCTTCTGGCTTACTGCTATTTCCAGATACAAGAGTTTTCCAATGCTGCAGATTGCTATGAACAATTGATTCAAATTCACCCAGAAGTCGATGACTACAAACTCTACCATGCGCAATCTCTGTATAAGGCCTGCATGTATTCAGAGGCTATGAAGGCAACCTTCCTTATAGACAATCCAGCATATCAAACAAAGGTAACTGAAGATTCACAATGCCACAATGTACGATTTAGCTCTTCATGAATTTCAGGAAGTTTCCATTATTTTATTTGGAATTTTCTGTCTAGATTTTTTCTTGTCACATGTTATTTCACAGTAAGATTTCTCTTTAAATCCTTAAATTTGTAGAGAATTTTTTAAGCATCTAAATTTAAAAAAAACACAATATTACAGAATCATGGTGGAAAATGCCATGTTTTTTNGCTGAGTGCAATCTATGCATCTCATGAATGCTGCATTGCAACATTGCACAAATGACTTCTTTAAAAATACCATTTGAATTTTGTCAGGTATTGAAACTACAGGCTGCAATTAAATATGGAGAAGAGGACCTTTCGGGAGCAAAGGTAAGCAAAGCAACAATTATGATTATATGTTTCGTACTTATTATTGTTTAAAGTAAATCTGAATATTGAATTAATTCTCCCTAGCTAGACAAAATTTCACTTTGCCCTTCTGAATATAGAGCTTTCTTCTTCTGTCCCCATAAGCAATAGTGAATCAGTTGGAAAGTTATAACATTTCCAAGTGAATCTGCGGATGCTAGAGGCATATTTATCAACTGATGACATCTCTTTCCTGCCATGGGAAATTTAGTTACATTGATTTTAAAACATTTCCCCATGGCTGCACTGTATCTGCAAAACAAATCAGTAGCACAGTGACATTCAGGGAGAGCCATCAAATAATTTAGTGAAATGAATTCTCTAGGATGGCACTGCATGCTTCAGTGCACTCCACCAATTGGAAGAGCATGATAAGGTTACATTTCAGTCTTGCTATGTGGATAGCATAGACAGAGGCAAAGTGAGGAGGTGGAAGAATGGTCAAGTATGGAGTTCAGAGTAGACAGCTTTAGAGTTTGCCTTGAGTTTACGCTGTTCTGATGAGAAAATAACTGGCGGTGAAACCTCGCAATCCGAAAGATAAAGGCTGAGAATAGTGTCAGTCTCGCTATGATTTGTGTAAATCGTATTCAATACTAAAGGCATCTCACAACTTGGATCCCCATTTGGATCTGAATACAATTTTTGAATTTCAAAATAATGTTATTGTGTCTGGAATATGTTTTTTATGGAAATAAATAGTTATTATAATCAAAATATATTGTTATCACGGCAGAGTCTAGTGGAGCAACAACCCAGTGAGGATCCAGACACTGAGATTAATCTTGGATGTCTGCTGTACAAAGAAGGACACTATGAAGATGCTTGCAAGAAATTTACCACTGCTATGCAGGTCGTAGGCTACAAACCAGGTAGATGTATTTACTATCTGTCTTAAATACAGAAACGGGCAAATTATTGTATTACTTTGTATTTGCTGAACATTGACAGAATCTGACGCCAAGGCACAGTGACAAACCTCTGAGGCTTGGGTTTCATCATCGTCTTCACTTTATCAAATGAGATGATTCCAAGCGAAGTAAACGTGAGCCCATGCCACATTTCTGGAAACACAGTACAAAACTGATAGGCCCACTCAGAGAGGCTAGGATTTAGCTAATGTGGAAAATGGACACGCCACGTTTGCAGCTTTTAGAGGCTAAGTTTAAGTCTTTTTATTGGACAGTGCACAAGGAGCACTGTCCTGCATCAAAACTATGCTGTGTCTGATCTGAATTGGTGCTGACAACAGTTACAAAAAATATGGAAAATGTTTCATTCCACAAAAATCACTCACGCTAGTTATTATTGTGCCACAAGTGAGCTGTTTCACTTCACTTTCTGCCAAAAAATGTTTCTAAACAGCTAACTTGGATGTGGATAAATGGGTCACACAAATTTTAAAGGTTAGATCAGGCCACAGTTTTTTAAAAAAAACATAGAAACATCTGTCATTTGTCAGTTAAACTGTCCAGATATTTATCTAATCTCTTATGTTCTTCTTCAGATCTGACCTACAATATTGCACTTTGTTACTACAGCATGAAACAGTATGCACCAGCCTTGAAGTATATAGCAGAAATAATAGAGCGTGGGATCCGAGAACATCCAGGCAAGTTGGCATCTTTATTCTCAGTTTAAACGTCTTTTAAAAGTGTTCCAGTGAGAACTGTTTCATTGCATAATTGATTTACAGCATTTGCACATGAATCTCAGTAAAATGTTCAATTATATAATCTTTATATGTAACTGTAATTACTGTAACTGTAATTTCCTGTAATTTACAATCACATTTCCTCCCATGTGTCGCTAGATAGACGACAGTAATTACCAAGACATTATGGGACCTGCATTTTGTTCCTATTTGTTAATTTATTTGAATTGCTAGGGTTCATTTTTAGTACTAGAACAATACAATTAAACATGCCTGTTACAATTAATGACATAGTAACAGATACTGTATGTCAAGATCAATAGAACAAATGTAATCAACCACAAAATACAGTCAATCCACTTTACAGCATATCCTGTGAAGCGTTTTGAGATATTTCAGCGACGTGATAAGGCGCTATAGCAAATGCAAGGATTATTATTAAAGTTCACCTTTTATGGTTTAAATATTTGCAATTGTATTTAGATTACCCTCCAAGATGCAAGTTTTGTTTCTATGTACTATTCAGTCTTATCAGTATTTTCATGTCTGGGGTAGTTTGCTGTTGCTCAGCAATAGATGTCTGGCTGTACTGATTGAGAAATTCCTTGTGTTGTGAAGGATAGTGATGTATGTTAACATGGTTGAATGGTCCTGCTGGTTCCTGCTAATGACATGAGGAAGTGCTTGCCCACTATTCCTGAAATGTATCCTCTTATTATTTGTTTCACTCAACTCTTGGTGTCACCGTCATTTTCAGAACTCAGTGTTGGTATGACGACTGAAGGGATTGACGTGAGAAGTGTTGGAAATACATTGGTACTCCACGAAACGGCATTAATTGAAGCTTTTAACCTTAAAGGAGCCATTGAGTATCAACTAAAGAACTGTAAGTGTACTGGACAAGAAAATGGATGAAATTATTCTATCGACTGTCATGTATCTCTTTCAAGGAGACCTGAAAGGATTCAAAACTGAGATCCAAATGTCTGAGCAAACATTGTGGAAATTTTGCACATTAAAAAATGAACCTTCCACCCCCCACCCCTCCATATACACACACATACACACACAGTTTTTAACATATGATGTAAATAGCAAATCTCGCAAAGCCCCATGGCAGAATGATTTGATATTCTATTCGCGGTCTTGGTTGTAACTCACTTGAGAGTTTAGCACTCATGCGTTCTCGGGCAATTTGTGAGATACAAATCACATCCTTCATAATTATATTCTCCGTATTTCCTCTGGCAATATTCTCATTAGAAGTTTTTGTTCTATTACAAAATGGATAGTTTTTAATGAGATTTGGGGGGAGTTCTATTGATCTCAGTTACATTCTGTGTCCTTTATAAAACAGATGAAGCGGCACAGGAGGCATTGACTGACATGCCACCACGATCTGAAGAGGTAATCTTATTCACTGACGCATCTCATGATCATATTTTATTGCAAAAATATTTTTGAGCATCAAAATTTGTTGACAGCACCAATGCAATTTCTCAACTTTTCATTCGACCTTCCTTGCATTTGCAGCTAATTTGATCATAAATTTCTCAACGTTCTTGAAATGTTACTTACAGATAATAAGATAATAAAGTCTATCAATACAAAAGTATTACTGCATAAACTCTAAATGATTTTTAAATGCATTTCCATAAATCACATGTAGGACGTTTGAGTTTTATGGTATGTTGTTGAGATATATTGAAGAATCTTGCATTACAAAAAGGAATAAAAATATTGAACTTTTCAGGATGTAAAGGAAACGAGTGTACAACCTGCATAAACTTAACAAACATTATTTGATCAAAATTGCTAATTTTATTTTGAATGATCACGTTTCCACTCCCTCTGTCAGCATTTATTTTAGTTTGGAACATTGAACTCTACAAAGAATCATTTTCTAACAAAATATTACAGCATGAAAACATGCTTCGAATTAAATACTTTACATTCATCATCTGGTTCAAATCTTGCTTAAAAATGAGTAGTTCAAGCAAACATGTTTTTGAAGCTTTTTAAATCATTAGTCGTATCCAACTGTTCTCATGTGATATTTTACCACATTACTGCACAGCATGTATTTCTTTGACTAATTAAAAAAATGCATTAAAAAGTGCATAAGAAGGTAAGAGTATTTAACAGGGCAGAATGTTACATAGTTAACCCTCTGATTACTAAATGACTGATTCTGAATAAAGTGACCACATCCAATGTGGCTTATACAAGTTAAAGGGCAATCACTCATCAATTTGGGCTCATAGCTACAGGTAAATAATCCTTGCATTTGATATAGCGCCTTATCACGTCTCAAAGCGCTTCACAGAATATACTGTAAAGTGAATTGACTGTATAGCTTGTGGGCGAAACGTGGCAGCCAATTGCACACAGCAGTGTCCAACAAACAGTCGTGGATTGAAGTGAACAATTTTTTTTTAAAGGAGTTATTTCCCCCAGAAAAGAGATCACCAATCGACTAACAACTGGGTTCCTACTTAATGCTAGGTAAACAGTAAGGAAACTTGCCCAACATTTCGCCCTGGCGGTAATCGAACCCAGGACTCTTGCTTGCGAGGCGAGTGCTCTAACCACTGAGCTGCAGGGCTCCAGGTAATCCCTGGACATGTTAAAATGGAGACATACATGAATCGAAACCTCTATTTATTTGAGAGTAATCTAATTAATTTGCTTAGGACATCGAAAAAAAGGACCAAATATAAAGCTTCACAGTACAAAACTGTTTCTCATTTGAGAGACGTTGCTGATCTCGCTGGGAAAATCCACAAGTTATAAAATCTAATAAAAAAAAACTTGTATTTATTCAGCAACTGTCACAAACACAAAATATCCCCAAAGCATTTTGTGAAATACAATTGATCAGCAATGAATGTGAATGTCGTTTTGGAGGCAAACTCGGCAGCCAATTTGCACGAACAACTCCACATACACTAAAATGAGAAGGGTAACAAAATAATTTGCAATATAGTTTATAACAGTATCAGAGAGCATGATAGGAGAAAACTCTTTTCAGATCATCCGACTTTGATGCAGGATTAATACGAGTATAGAGTTGGTAAAAGTTCCAAAATGAGACTCCACATTACTGAGGAACCCTGCATGTCTGGTAAATGGACATTTAATCCTGTCAGATGCATTTAATGACTGTGTGCTGTTGCAAACGGGCAGCAAAGCCATGACCATCTGTTTGGACAGCTGGAAATATTTTATTCATCGTGAAATTAGGTACATAACTGGGTGGAGATTGTAGATTTTCGAGCATATGGCCTGCAGATGATGAGGTTTGCTGTTCGCTTTCAAGTCGAAATCCTGATTTATAATCAAGATTGCTTCAGAGCATCTCTGCCAACTGATGAGTTATATAACTGCTTCTTGACGTGTTTTAATACCTATTTGACTGTAATATCTTGAGGAGTATAAATATGAGATGTGACAAGATAGCGGCCATGTTGGTCATGGCAAAATACCAAGTACTCAGGGTGATGTGCTTTCAGTCTTATTGATTCCCAGTAATGGAATTTTAGACTTTATTTGGCCAGGAGTTTTACCTTAAGGTCAGACCAGATTATTGATTTGTCTCTGTGACCTCTGTCTCATCCACCGGTCTCCTTCTGCAGTTAAATGCTGTCTTATCAGAATATTTGTGATACCCCCCCCTATCTTGAAGCTTTATCTCATGTGTAAATTTCCATGTTTCTATCAACTATCACTGGTAAAGTCCTAATCCCAATGTTTCAAAGGCGTTTTCTAAAATAATCTTTGGAGACTGAATAACTCAGTGGGTCAGGACACTCTCATTCACCCCTTGCACTGGGCTTCAAATCCAGTTGGACTGATCGAGACGACCTCTCTGAATTCCTTGCGAGTGTGAGTTCACATGGAAAATTCTGCCCTCAAATTGGCACAAATTGATGATCCAATTAAAATATCTGATGTGGAAAACGGAAAACATTGGTGCACTTCCAAGCTTGAGATTGAAGCATATTGTCAGGTAGAACAGAGGGAGGTTTCTTCTTCAGATAGCCTGTGCTTTGTTTGACCCGTTGAGGGTTTGATGTTGATGCTCCAAAGGTAGAAGTGTTCTATATCCTGGTATTAACTTCCCTCACCGTTAATTTAACAAATTTTAAAAAACAATCAGTGCAGTGTAAGCGCAGTAATGTATTTTTCAATTCTTTTGGGAAAAGATCAATTCTAGGAACCAGCTCTAAAATCCGTTTACAAACTATCCTGTGTTGACAGCTGGGTTATAAGTTTGCACAGTAGCAAATATACCCACAAAATATACAGTTGATTCACTTTACAGTGTATTCTGTGAAGCACTTTGAGACGTCTCGAAGACGTGACAAGGCGCTATATCAAATGCAAGGATTATTATTTTTGAAATTGTGCAATTTGTTTTTTTTTAGTTTTTATTGAAGGTCTTCATGAAGATAAAAATAATTTGCTGTGGTTGGTGACGTGACAGTCAGTGCCCTTGCATGGACCATTGTAAACTCAATGCTGAAGGGTTAATTGTTGCCTCTCGACCCTTTCAGCAACGAAAACAAGCGCTGTGTATCTTTATTTAAGGCGCTATATCAAATGCAAGGCTTGTTATTATTTATTAACCTTGTCCTGATGGATATGACAGCTGAGTGTTTCAGAGGATAAGATCCCCAATATTCGGGTATTAAAATTCGTTTTGTGGACTCATAGAAATTATTATACTCCAGAGTATAATTCTGCAAAAGCATTCATGCAACAAAACAACTTTCGTAAGCATAACGAAACTGCTATAATTACCCAAGGAATAGGTAGTTGTCAGAAATAGCTCGATTTAAAATGCAGGGTTAAGCAATCATTGCAGGTAATTTAGCTTGTTTAGCGTGCTTAGACTGTTGTCAATATTGGAAAGTTATTTTACATGACCTGTGCCGACATTCCCTGTTTATGTTCAGTTTAGTAACCCTTGGAACCATGCCCATCGTCTGCCCCCGAGTGGCGATGTGGTGCTGTTACCTTTGCATTTGCACAACTGAGAATCTGCTGTATAGATGGAGACTGCGGAGTCTGTCAAATGATACTTTTTTTTTATTAACTTGCAATTCATAGAGGGCCTTATCACGTCAAAGTCTCAAAGTGCTTCGTACAAAAGGATTTCTTTTTTGTCAATGTGCTGGCTGTTACAGTGGCAAGCTTGACTTGACCACAGCTGCCACAAAAAACAGCACTGAGATAAAAGACCCAACGAATCCGTTTTCTTGAAGTGAATTTAGATGAATAGGGAATATTAACCGGGACAACAAAAGAACTTCACCCACGGAATTCCGCTCAAAGATAAAGGTGAAACGTATAAAAAAGGAGCAGTCCGAGCCACACAAATCAAAATGAAATACACAGAATGCTGCCGCTTAGACTGTCGTTTACAAACACGTCTTTGAAGCTAATTTACTCTTCCCACTATCTTCGAAATGTTTTCAGTTGTACAGAGCCCAGACAAGAGAACCCGGAGCGCGGAATGAAGAGTACAGTACTTTGTCAGCTGTTTGACATTTCATTTGAATGTAGTCCGCACTAATTTACTGCATTGTGTTTCTCTGCAGGAACTTGACCCAGTCACGTTGCACAACCAAGCTCTGATGAATATGGACTCTAAGCCAACTGAGGGATTTGAGAAGCTCCAGTTCCTTTTGCAGCAGAACCCCTTTCCACCAGAAACCTTTGGCAACCTGCTTCTTCTTTACTGCAAATATGAAGTGTGTTGACTTCAGGGCTCTTTTTGTCCTGGTTATTTATGCTTGAAAACGTTAATCTTTCAGGCTGCTCCATGTGTATATACACATTCCGTGTTCAGCGTGACCTGTGCGTGTGTATATAAAGATATATATATATGTGCGAGAATTACTTTGATTTTAATTGGAAGCATCTAAACCTAAAAAGGCTCTCCTATTATAGTTTGGCATTCGTCTGAAACTGTTGTTCCTGATCCATTTCCCAGTGTCTCTCATCTGATGTCTCTCATTACCTTCTCCCATGAAAAGGGACTTGGTCAAGAGAGGGTTCAGAACCAAATCCAACAAATGGTGGAAACAGATTCAATAACAACAAAGGGAATTAGATAGGGACTTGAAAAGGAAAGATTTGCAGGGCTACGGGGAAAGAGCGGGGGAATGGGACTGATTGGGAAGCTCTTCCAAAGAGCTGGCACAGACACGATAGGCCAAACGGCCTCCTGGGCTGTAATATTCTATGATTCTATAAGCAGGAGGGGAAAAATCAGAAGCATATTTTAAGTTACGAGGGGAAACGAAGACACGAAGGGCCATGAAAGGCATGTAGACAGAGCAATATAAAGACCGACACACACTGGTTGGACCGAGTGGCCTGCACATTCTTTGTAACTTTGAAATCTGCAAAAGTAATTGTTCTTATTTTTCAGTATTTTGACTTGGCTGCTGATGTTTTGGCAGAAAACGCCCACCTGACGTACAAATTCCTCACACCGGTAAGAAGTTAGAATATTGTTTGATGCACGAATTGCAAAGCTTTCCCCTGAGCGTGTCCTGTGCTGGATCTTAAGCTGTTAAATGGTATATATTCCGATCAAACATCCCAGCTCTTGAATTGCAGCATTGCCTATTTCCTTGTAACTTGACTCGTTTGAGAGATTATTTTACGGGTCTTCACCAGGACCTGACATGGAGTATTGCCCAGCCATCGGGTGTTTTGTTTTTAAAAGGGAAGTAAAATCTCAACAGTGGAACTTGCCTTGCCTGAATCCTGCCTCTTCCAGGACAGTTACAGAGCAGCTATTTTAAACTAGCTCGTGGGATTGGATTAGATTCTGCCAACATAATCTAAAAAACTATTAAGGGAAACGGGGCAAGGGCTGGTAATTGGACTTGAGGTACAGATCAGCCATGATCTTAAGAGAATGGCGGAACAGGCTCAAGGAGCTGAATGACCCTCTCCTGTTCCGATATTCCTATTGGCGGTCAACAAGCACTACCTTCTGCAGAGAAGACAACAGGAAGGTTAGGAAACTAATGCGTTGAGCAGCAGAGGAAATAATTACCCGTAAATAATACCACAGTGGCCATGAGAATGTGTTGCCATGACATAGTCTGAAAAGAGGTAAAATAGGAGAATATTCTGTACGCCATTTCAACCATTTGGTTTATTTTGAAAGCTCTCCTGAATTTTTTTGTGAGCTTCCTTTTATATCAATGCGTATTGAAGAGCTCAGTCAGATCCACTTGCAGTAATGTCTCTGAACAAGACTGTGTTGGATTTAATGTTGCATGAGTCCTCTATGTTGTGGAGTCCTGTCGCTCAGTGGTTAGAGCACTCGCTTTGCAAGCGAGAGACCTGAGTTCAATTCCAGACAGAGGGCGAAACCTTGGGCAAGTTTCCTTACTCCACACAGAGCCTAATAATAATCCCTCCAAAACCAAAAACAATAATAAATTGGTCATTTTCAATCTACGACTGTTTGTGGGACATTGCTGTGCGCAATTGGCTGCCGCGTTTGCCCACAAATATACAGTCAATTCACTTTACAGTGTGTTCTGTGAAGCGCTTTGGAACGTCCTCCTGACGTGAAAAGCGCTATATCAAATGCAAGGATTATTATTATTATTATGAGGTTGTACAATTGATATCTAAAGTCTCCATTATGGTTCCATTACCTCTCTTTCGCAGAATAGCCAGTATTGCTCCACGGGATGCAGAATTCCTTATTTGTAAATGCTGCAGTTTCATAACTGACACACTTAAAAGTTCTGCTACGGAAACAGGATAGATCTTATCGCTCTCAGGAGAATCTGCGTCGTTGAGGGGACAAAAAGAAACATTAGCCATTCAAAGAATAATAACTTCAAAGTGAAGAGCTTTTAGTTACGAGTTTCATGCTTCTGATTGTAGCTGCCAGCAGGTTAATAGGTTTTTCGATATCTCTGATGGTTCCTTGGTCACAACGAGAACGGCAACTGTTTTTCCAACTTTTATGCAACATTTTCATTACTGTCATTTCCCCTGACTCCAGTCAGTGCACATTTTTATTGTATAATTGAAGGCTGCAACCAAGACACACTTTATTGTGACATTTGAGCTAGTTTTTTTTACCTTGGTCGGATATATTGGCTTTTCTCTCATGTGGGACCATTTGCACTAGAAAATTGTTTCCTGATGTAAACTGCTGTGTTACCCATGGTTTCACTGTATTCTTGTAATATCAAATTTACTTCATAGTAAGTCTGGAAAACAGTTAATGGGTTTGAAAGTTTCACTTGACTGAGATCCAGGAATGGTTTTCAAAGTGTTTAGACCCTTCAAAAGCTCCCTGTAAACCTTTTGAATGGGCAAAATTGGATAATAAATCGTAGGGATTGTATGATACAATTTTTATTATAGAAGCAATTACGACATTAATTGTACCTCAAGAGCCTAAAATACTCCATAAGTGCGATCGAAAGACTGGTTTGTTTAATGGTAACATAAAATTCAGATGCCAGTTCATTCTTCATCCATTAAAATGGTAAAACGTATCAATTATACTGTTAAGTTTAGATTGCTTCTTTGGCAAGTCTGAAACTGATCAATCATTTTGTTTTGCTAATAAAAATCAAGTGCTCTGAAGATTTATGAGGTATCAAATAAGCTGAAATGAATCGCCTTGTTTGTAACGTTTATTACATGGTCAACATTGATTTCACTGGGGTTTCATCTTGAATCAACACAAATTGTGCAATATATGCAGTATTTTGTTTTATTTGTGTCTTATGTTTTCTAAGCCATTTTTTCTCCTGTACCTTCCTCCTCACCTCCTAATGAGGGAAGATAACTGATACTGTCTTTAAAATGTACATTGACTGTATTTTCCCTTCACTGGGTTCCGCAAGCTCCAGTCATCCTCTGGTATTTTGCCTAAGTGGACATAATTCACTTGCGAGCCTCAATGGCGGGTGTTGGCAATGTGTCAATTAAGGGAGAAGAACAGGAGTGAAAACCTTGTCTGAATCCCACCCCCCCACTCCCCTCCAGAGTCCTGAGACGCTACCTCACGCTGCAGGGCGTAATATAAATGCAAGTTATTGTTCTAACCCTAACAAGAAACGCGGAATGGATAGTTTCCAGGAAGCTTTTGCCTCTGTTTTTTTAAAAAGTATCTAAAATCGTTTAGAATTTGGAATCCAAAGATGTAACTGCTAATTTGCCATTAGTTGCCATGTTAAGTGCTGTACTTTTCAACCTTAATAGCTATGTAACTTTCTGCATTTGTACAATTCTTTTTCATTGCACAGTACTTGTATGAGTTCCTCGATGCCATGATAACCTGTCAGACAGCACCAGAAGAGGTGAGGACCTGCTTTACACCATATAATGAGACCGTATTTACTTACTTACTTACTTATTTCCATACTAAATACTTAACCAACCTCTGCCCTTCTGTGCCTTTCAGTAATGGGCAGCTTTGTATTGCATACAGTTATGTTCATGCATTAAGTTATGAGTTTAGAACGTAATGATTATTATTATCATGTCTTTGATTCTGTTAGGAAAAGAACTGACATATTTTATGTGTGGAAGGGAAAGGTTAGAGAAAGTCCTGTGGAAGATGTTCTGATCTCACAAAGTCACAGGTGTAAAACAAAGTATCATAGGCATGTTTCGCTCTTCAATAGTAAGCTGGGCTAGTGATATTTCTGTTAAGAGAATGAAAAACACTCATCAAGAAGAGTATTTTCATCTTTCGCTGTGATTTTAATCAGTACGAAAATGTGCCTCTTTCAAGAGTGAGACACATCATCAAATCTTTACATCTTCATAGGCATTCCGAAAGTTTGATGAAATGGCAGGTAAACTGACTGAGCAGTTGCGAAAATTAACCAAACAGGTAATTTTTCTTAATATACATATAATATATATATATTCATCAGTAATACATGTTTGAGGTCTAAATAATGATGTTCATGTGCATTTTGTGCCTTGATCCTTCATTACTTGTTATGGAAGTGAATTTGTACTGGCCTTCCATACGCTTTGAAGATAGGATGATCTTATATAGAATTTATTTGTAATTTCTTACTCTTATATTTAACTTCCGAGTATAAAGTTGGAGCTTTATCAAAATGGGGAAGAAATTGCTTGGACACTCTTAAACAGCAGCACACTTTCTTCTTAAAGTCGAACTGTTAGTAACTGGTAAAATGGGATAGAAAATATCTGCTTTTCATTTAGGTTCAGGAGGCGAGACATAACCGAGATGATGAAGCTGTCAAGAAGGCAGTAAATGAATATGATGATGCACTTGAGAAGTGAGTAGCATTCAGTTTAATTGTATGTATTTCAGATACTGTTAGAAAGAAATAAGCTTACACTGGACACCTGCCCGTACCCTCCGTTCCTCCGGCTCCGGTCTGCTCCACGTCCCCCGCCCCAATCGCCCTACCATCGGTGGTCGGGCCTTCAGCCTCTCAGCCCGTAGGCTCTGGAACTCTATCCCCCAGTGCCTTCGCCGCCTCCTCCCTTTCCTCCTTCAAGGCCGGTCTCAAAACCTTTCTCTTTGACCGAGCCTTCAGCTCCCCTCTCGACTCTCTTCCCCCTCCTCGATCCCTCCCTTCCCTCCCCTCACCCTGACCATTTCCCCCCTCCTCGCTCCCTCCCTTCCCTCACCCTGACCATTTCCCCCCTCCTCGCTCCTTCCCTCCCCTCACCCTGACCATTTCCCCCCTGCTCGGGTCATGACCCAACTGTGCAGCGCCTTGGGACGTCCTCCTGACGTGAAAGGCGCTTTATAAATGGAATCTTGTTGTTGTTGTTGTTGATGCATCTCTCAAAGAAATAGATGACAAGAGATCGATGCTTTGCTAATCTTTGCTCCACCGTGGCATTATCCTGATACAAGAGAGCAATCTGGAGTGCTAGTTTTTAAATAAAATGCATTGTCTGACAATTACAGAAAGAAATTCATCCTCATGCTTAAGAGTATCCAAACCAGTCTTAAGAGTTCCATGTTTGCATTTCATCTATGTGTCTGGAATGTAGTGCACACTCTCTCCCTGGAGAACGCAAAGATTTTATTTAATTTATTGCTCTGGTCACCCTAATCTGTGAGTCCAAATGTGCGGCTTGAACCTGCAACCTTCAGACCCAAAGGTGAGAATGCGACCAATTGAGTCAAACTGACACCGTGTGTAGCCGTCCAACAACAACAACAACAAGATTCCATTTATAGAGCGCCTTTCACGTTGGGAGGACGTCCCGATACAGTGTGTTATACTGTAATATACCTTGATTATACTTTGATGATTATAACACTAACGGAGTGTACTTCCTCAGGTATATTCCCGTTCTCATGGCTCAGGCCAGAATCTATTGGAACCTGGAAAACTACCAAATGGTTGAGAAGATCTTCCGGAAGTCGGTGGAATTCTGCAATGAACACGACGTTTGGAAACTGAATGTGGCTCACGTTCTCTTCATGCAGGAGAACAAATATAAAGAAGCGATTGGTTTCTATGAACCAATCGTGAAAAAGCATTATGACAACGTAAGGCACCACATTTGCTTGCCCCGCTCTTTTAAGCGAATTGTGCCAATGATGGTTTTATTTAACCCCCGGCACCTTTTATGTTCCATGCTGTGTTTACACTTAATATTTAGTGGTGAATCACCATTGTTTAGGATGTCAAATGTGCAGCATAAGTGGGGGTGACCCAGCACAGATATCCTTGTTCCTTGTGCTCCCGGGAAGTACTTGCAGTATGACTGACGCCCAGTGAAACATAAATAATGGTAATTGTGGGCGCAAATGGAACCTTATTCACTTTCTGATGCATCAGGAAGTTCCCAGGTGGTGCGTTGAGCCGAGTAGCTGCCTTCAACAGGCCTCTTAATGTTTTATAAACTTAATACGATCAAAATTCTAATTTCAAAATAGTACCAGTGGCTTCACTTGGACTTAGCTCTACCAGTAAATAACAAAATCAATGCTATAGATTAGAACGTTGGCACAAACACAACTCGTGCTCCAATCGAACAGGAGAATCGAACATGACTGATTCAAGGTACGTCTAAAGACCTTCCTCTATGACCGCACCTTCGGTTACTGCCACCTGCTCTTGGCTCCTACTCCTGAATCCAACTCCCAGCTCGGGTGTAAACCCTTGACTCTCCAGCGCCTGAGGACGTCCTCCTGACACGATAGGCGCTATATGAATGCGATTTTGTGTTGTTGTGGTTGATGAAACAGTTAAATGCACGGAACTAGATGATTATACAGCAATGGTTTCAGGCAGTTATTGACTATTGGTCTACCCAGTCAGTTTCCCCAAAAGATGAGCAAAGGAGATATAGAAAGAAAGCCAAATGTTTAACAGTTAATAAATGTGGATAAAGCAGTAGGTATTACGTTACATGTTCTGATTTAAGATGAAAACCAAATTCCAGTGCCCTTTATCGTTCCTAGAAAGGAGTAAGTATCAATGTTTGTTTTTGTAACTAAAAATACTAGTTTTAGTAAAATGTGATATCTAGTTGTTACATTCTTTTTGAAGGCAGACTGTTTTTAAAATATTGCATCTATATTCCATCAGGATTTGTACTTGAACATGGCAAAATTGCAGGTAATTCAGAGTCCATTCTAATCGGATTTTTTTGTGCCAGCATTAAAAAGGATTATGAAGTTCTCAGTGCAGTGGACAGATGGTGCATGCATTTCTGTGAGTCGTCACTAACATTGGCACAAGTAGAGAGTAATTCACTAAAAATATATTCCTTCATTATCAAAACTAAGCACAGCTTATTCCCTTTTATTTGTGAACTTTTCACCTGTGACTAGCACTATAACGTCAAAGGTTATTGCCAGAGAAGCATTTTGTTTTTTTAAAAAAAAGACTTGTCTCAGTGTATATATTTGTAAACTTTTTTTTGACTACTGATAATTGGTACACAGCATGATCTGAGTGTGAGACGTGCCATTTTATATTGACGTGTGTTTATTTCCAAAACGTTTAAAGTTGCAATATCCCATTTCCTGGCTCTCTTAGTCTTTATTTTTCATGCAGTAATTGTGACTCAGTCTTGTTCTAAACTGTATACAGCTTCTCGGCTGCTTTTTTTATTGATGAAATTTACTTGAAATCTACACGAGGATCAGTTTTGACAACTTTGCCTCACAGAGAGAATGACTGTATGTGATAACTTCCCCTACAGGTTAAAGTTTGAATTTTTATACAAAGCAATGAGGGAAGATAACTGATATTGTCTTTAAAGCACTGATTTCACTATACAGGATATGACAACTTTAAGCGTTTTTGTTGTACAATTAAATTTATTTTTGGAGTACGTAGTCTGTGATGTGAGCTGTGAGATACGACCTTGTTATTTTTGCTGTGATAGTACCTGTATTTAACTGCTTCAAAGCAAAGTTGCCATTCTGATAACATATCAATTCTGATGTACAGTAAATTCAGCTATTTAAGTTTGGTAACGTTACAGTTCCTGAATAATTATATCAGTATAAACCATGAAAAAGATTTAGAGATGCCTTAAAAACCATAAACTGAAAATATAATTGCAGTTGATTTACTGTAACTAGACATTAATTGTAAATCCACACACAGTGCAGAGGACACCTATACAAATCACTTTAAAATGTGACTTGCTTTGAAATCTTCTTACTTGTAAAATAGAATGCTTAGCCAGTTTTGAAGAGAGTATTTTGTAACATCCAAACCATTGATAGAAACTATTCGAAAATGCAAAACTCCATTTGGAAGGTGAAATTAATACATTGTTTGAACAGATTTTGACTGAACAATTGTAGTTTAATCTCACAAAACAAGGTGAAGGATTATGGTGTGACTATTGGAATGTAAACCGTTTTATGGCCGTAGTTTTATTATATGGTATTTAGACATATAAACCTGAACAAATGTTAATTTACTGATGTCCAGTATTTGAAGAAACTTAACTTTCTAAGCTCAATATCAAACCAAACGCAAGGGATAATATACTCTTATCATTTCATTCATTTTTATCTCACTATTTCCTTTTGCTGCAGGGATTAGAAATGTATTATGTGCTGTAAATTCTTTTGCTATCTTCCCTTTTAAACTTTGCCAGTTTGTTTTGTTTATGCGTGGACTAAATCAAATCTTTTCTGGTTTGTATTTTTTCAGTTCTATTTTTATTTGTGCCGCCTGAACATTATTTCCAGTGTATAAGATGACTGTTATTCCATTTTGCAACGAGCAATGGAACAGCATAATGCTTTTACCTCCAATCTGTTATGTTTGGTTAGAAACTGAAACCAAGGAAAGTCATTCTGTGGATTGGTGTTTAGTTTGCGGAAGCATTTACCTTTTCTTGAATGTTTTTACCAGTTGGGGAATTTTTATTGTTTGACTGTATGTATTGTACTGTCAATCACAAACAGTGCACCGACATTAAATTCACAGCTGTAAATCGTACAGACATGGAGCCAGCAATGCATGGAGAAAAAAATAAGAAAATATATTGTATTTGTCTGGGAAATGAACTGTGAGCCCAAACTGTTGCTTGCTTATCCCCAGCTTTGTTTCTGTTTTCCCGTTCCACAGTTTAGTCTATGAGAGATTGAAAACCATGACTTGATATGAAGGCGGAACACGGAATGAGCTAAAACATTGAACGTTTTTCAGCTCTCTTGCTGTGTGACAATTGGAGTAGCACTATTACTACTACCCGTTTAAGTGTGAATTATTAAGAAACAGTCACGTGCTTCACAAATTAGTAAAAAATAACCTGCTTGTAGTTGTAAACCATTGAACCCATTAATGCCATGTTTATGTTGCAGAACTGCTACAATTAGAAACCGTTCTGCAATATACTGATCTGCCGCTGCTATGGAATCCATCAGGTTCATATTGCAAGATGGACAACACAGCATGGATGGCAAAGTAAACTGCCTATGAACCCAGTAGCTTTCTGTTCTGGCTGCTGGATCTTCCCAGATGTTTGATAAAGTCCGTAAACGCCATGTAGGGGAGCTGTACCGCTGGCTGAGTTCTCAGCTGAACTGAGGCCAGAAGCATGATGGCTAGCACTGCCACAGACCAGATTTATCATGTTGCCTTTGACCTTGCTCTGACAAATCACCTCCATAGGCAGTGCTGCAGTGGGGGGGGGGGGGTGGTTGGCGGTAGTATCTTTTTATATTGTGGTTTATTTCTAACTTGCAATCTTGAGATTGAATGTTCACTGTATCTCAACATTATTTATTCTCTCTTTCATCAAACTGTCAATAATGCTCCCCATCCATCTCCAGACACAGTGGAAAAACTCCTGATATTCAGCAACATTTTGTCAGGGTAGACAAGATTTCATTTAGCAGAGTGAACCACCAACAACATTTACATTTTTTTATTCTTCCTTATCACATTTCTGTCATGTTCCCAATGTTTCCCATCTATCTACCCATCTGCCTTATCGTTGCTGGGACACTATGTGAGAAAGAGCAGAGCAGTGGAAAAATACTGGTCTACGTTCTCAAACTTCTGAATCTATTCCCATTTTCTGATCAGGAGCAGAGACCATTTTGCACAGAGCTTTCTTTTCTATTCTGAAACCGGGTGGCTTATTGAGTGCGTCATTTCAGAATTATTTCTGAGAGGATTTCGAGATTTGATTCCAGTTTATTTCTGTGCTGGCAGAGGGATAACATTGAAGGTCATGACTTGCTCTTACCTTTGTAAACATTTCTCCACTTCCATTATTAAAAATGGATAGAATTGCAAAATATGTATGTAATACGTCCACGTTTTCTGCATGTTACAAATGAATGATGTTGAAAATTGACAAGCTGCAGCAATGCTTAATATTCTTCAGCAATTAAAATGACAAAATCCATATGCAAACCCATTCCTAGATTTCTCATTCTAGTTTACTTGCAACTTGAAACATTACTCCAGAAGAAGGCTTCAAAATTAGGCATTCCTTTTAAATGAATTGTCCTACAGATATTCATTTAAAAATATATATTCTGTCGTATGCACTGTAAGAGCACTGGGCCATGACATCTCAGAAAACTTGCTTCAAGAACCATTTATGAATTGGTAACAATTTATTTCCCTAATATCTTTGCCAGGAATTATCTTACATGAGGTTTACATTTTGTGTGAGTTTGATTGTAGAGTTTAACAGATTCCTTAAATTGCCAATTGGGTGTGCTTTTCTTGTAGTTATTTGTTGTGTGGACTGAAATTCCCACTTTGTTCGTTTCCTTTTCACGAATTGGTTTGTATTGCATCTCTTATCTCTTTTGAATGTAGCATTACTCATAAATAGGCTTATATTGATAATGTTTTCATTACATTTCAGATACTAAATGTGAGTGCCATTGTTCTTGCTAATCTCTGCGTTTCTTACATCATGACCAGTCAAAATGAAGAGGTAGGTGAAACACCATGTACTATTGGTAATATTGCTAGGTGGGCTTGACAACAATGCTCTCTCCACTGTTAATTAGCCTGACAGTGCTATCTTTCAAGACTCACAAACAGAAAGTTGGGTTGAGGTACCAAAGCGTCGTAGGAACCAGTTGATGTACATGCCACACCTGGAAATTGGAGGAAGAAAACAGAACACATTTCCAAAATAAGACCTTTTTTCTAGCTGCATGTTTTCACAATGTGATTACTTCTACAAATGCACGTATATAACTTCAGTCTCTTGCCCTAAAGGCAGAAGAACTGATGAGGAAGATTGAAAAAGAAGAAGAACAAGTGGCATATGATGACCCAGAAAAAAAGATCTATCACCTTTGTATTGTCAACCTTGTTATAGGGTAAGTGGGACCTGAGTCGAATGGGAGAGTGGCTGTGAATCTCACTATCCATTATTTGCGATCTAGAAGTCACAGTTAAACCAAATCCAGTTTGAGAATGTTGCAATTACACTCTATGTTGTGGAATCCTGTAGCTCAGTGGTTAGAGCACTCGCCTCACAGGCAAGAGATCTGGATTCTATTCCCGGGTAGGGCGAAACGTTAGGCAAATTTCCTTACTCCACACGCCTCTGTTTACCTAGCAGTAAGTAGGAACCCGGTTGTTAGTTGATTGGCCGATTGCTTTTCCAGGGATAATAATCCCACAAAATAATAATAACAATAATAAATTGGTGACGTCAATCCACGACTGTCTTTTAAGACACTGCTGTGCCAATTGGCTGCTGCGTTTCGCCCACAAATATACAGTGAATTCACTTTGCAGTATGTTCTGTGAAGCGCTTTGAGACGTCTGGAAGACTTGAAAAGCCTATATCAAATGCAAGGATTATTATTATTATGATCTGCTTAATCTACAAAACCAAAGAAATATATGATACAGTGGGAAGCCACTCAGCTCATTTTTTTGTGTCGATGTTTGCTCCTCCTAGAAGTCATTGATTTAATCCTGATTCCCTACTGTTACCCTAATTGCTACCAGTGACACCTGGTAAATCACTTCATACTCTTAACAGCCTTCTGGGAGGAGGTCTTTCAAACCTGTCCTTTTACTCCTCTTGCACCTTGAACTCAAGCCATCTTGTCCTTGGATTCCCCTACCAGCAGAAAGGGTTATTCTTTCACAAATTCTCTCTCCCAACCCATTCAGTATCTTGAACATGATATGATTTAGTTTCTCATTATCACATTACATTCATGAGAAAGAAACTGTCAATTATATGTTCACATTGTTCATGCTGAATGGCTTTGAGAGATAATGTTTTGCTGTGTTTCCATTCTGTAATGCCTTTGTTCCTAATTCCCTCAGGACTTTGTATTGCGCGAAAGGCAATTATGAATTTGGTATTTCCCGAGTGATTAAGAGCTTGGAGCCATACAATAAAAAGGTAAGTAGAAAAGATAGCGGTTTAGATCAATTTGAAAGGATGCTAACTGGAGTTAACTTTAATAGTAGCTATTTACAACCTCCCTTATAGGAAGAACAGTTTAAAAAATTGAATGTTGCCATCATTCTGTAATTAGATTGGACCACTTTAACTGATCCAATGCCGGATTTCAAATGAAACCCGTTTAAATGTGTAAATTTGTGCCCAGCAACAAACATGATTCCAGTTCACTTTCAGAAGTGTCCCAGTTTTAAACCAGGTTAGACTTTTAACAAGATCAGCTGGAGGTTGGAAGATTAAATAGCTTATCAATTAAACTGCTGTAAATCACTTGGAAATCCCATAATACCGATCTAATCCCCTTCAATTCAAATACTGCAGTGGGAGTCTTGGAGCACTATTTTTTTTTTAAAAAGTTCGTGCAAGTTAGGTGTAAGCATGATAACGACTGGCCTAAAAGTTAAGCAGCATCATTGAAATACATAAATAACCTACCCCACCACATTTCCCCGCTAGTTCATATTAATGGCTTGTCTTGTCACTGACCCCTAGAGGCCAAGAGGGAAAACCTGGTTACTTGTGGATGATTTTGTTTCGTAGATGCAATGGGTGAGAAAGACTATGCAAATCCCATTCTTCTTTACGTTCTAGCCTTTGTTGCTGTATATTTTTAATCCAGTGATCAAAAATTGGATTCATGAGCTATTTTTACACTTATTACATTTACTGGATGTGGATCCAAAAACATCCTTGAGAGTGTGAAACAATCTTTTACTTTGTGGGAGCGTGGGGGGGAGGGGAACTGCCGTGATGAGACAAGATGGCTAAGCTTGAGTGGTTTGAGTCAGAGGATCAGAGTTTGTTATTTTGATAGCAAGGTGAACGATCTGTCTGGATTGTGAAACAAAATGAAAACCTGAAGCGGCTGCTAAAAATACTGCAATAGAATCAGTTTAAACAGTAGCCAAACACTATAGATGTATGTACCGATGTACACTTTAAGTACAGCCACAAAAGATGCATTATAAACTGTTCAAAGCCAAACTCTTAAAACACAATTCTCATTACTTCATATTAAATGTATATCTTCTGACATTAAAAATATGTTCCAGTTTAATGTCTGCAGTGATGTTTTCCTGGTTTCTCTACCTTCTCCTTCGGGGCTCTGTGAAGTAGCGAATTACATGCTTGTTAATGACTTGTCACTGATACAGAGAAAGCCTCAGGGAAAACTTGTCTTCCAGTGCGTTACAGATATTGTTCATGGAAAAATCAATGTTTGCCATGATGCAGTGTGGTAGCTTTGAGATGATGAAAAGACTTGACACTGAATGTTCCAGTGACTGGTTTCAAGCAAAGTGGTTCAGGGATGATTGGAAATTTGGGTTTACAAAAAACTAGGCAGAAATATATTTCCGCGCGCTGTGCCTCTGTGAAGATAAGTCATACATCATGCTTCAGCTTTGCCCTTTGAATAACTGACTGGCGTTGGAGCTTAGAAAAGGATTTAACAAACCATTTATAAACATTGAAAGATCGATTATATATTCAGTGTAACGCTATTTTATGCTGCTGGGAACAAATCCACTCTGGTTCCATCAACATAGCCATTCGAAGCCAGTAGCCTGATTTATACTTCCCACTCCACATTGCAACTGTTCAAAATATAACAGTCTGTTTTTCAGTTCCACCTAAGAATTGTGTATTATTTTGTGAATATTATTCAACAACTCTAACAGCATTAAAAATACATTGGAAGAAATTGGTTTTAGATTTACTTTATGCAGCTATTTGGGGCATCCAGAATTTGTCACATTGTTGAATTCAGTCTTAACTTTGAAGCTAGTTTTTGTAGTTCTTGAATAAAACTTGCACGATAAGCAAAGACTTCAAAATTAAGGCTGTGTTCACGAATCTCCAAATTCTGGTCTGTACTCCAGAAGCAAAGAATAACATTAAATGGGTTGAATGCCCTGGTTCCTACAGTAATATTATTATTTTATATTATTATTGCGATCTGTTATATTAGTTACAGATCTGGGATCACTCGCCTGAGAGGAATGGTCGCTGTTGTTGAGAACCTGTTGTCTGTTATCTCCTTGCAGTGTTGCTTCACCAAACAAACATCTTTTTTGTGTATATAGCTCGGAACAGATACTTGGTATTATGCCAAACGCTGCTTCTTGTCTTTGCTGGAGAATATGGCCAAACACATGATTATGCTGCGGGATACGGTTGTACAAGAATGTATTCAGTTCTTAGAACACTGTGAAAGTAAGTACGGAACCGGTTACTGACGGAACCGCATTACATCAATAAGGCTCTCGGTTGTAGACGTGTGCGTTACAGCTGAAGAACAGACAAAATAAAACCCAACATTTCTCTGCACTTTATGGTTGTGCGGTGTGCAAGGTGGATTGTGTTATATCAATTACTAGAAAAAGTACATAGAAATTGAGCTATTGCTAATTCATATATGAATAACTACTATTTAATTAATAGCTGTAATATTACGCCTGAATTACACATACTTAGTTACTTTTGGGCAGATGCAGATTACTGATTACACCAAGCTTACTATTGAAAACCTGTTAGCACTGTGCTGCATTTCGAGCAGTTAAGAAGTGTGCCTCGAGCGAAATTGTTATGGTGTACTTTGCAAATAGATTGGCAGAGCAACATATACAGCAGCTTGCAGACTTAAATGTTTGTCTATTTTATGAGGTTAGTGAATGCACCACTGCAGCTAGATCTTATGCTAACATGAGAGAAAAAGCATTTGAACTTAATCAAGAAGGATTGTTCAAATCCAGTGTTAAGTTCAGCATTAATAGATTTTGCTCATTCTGCTTGTTTTTTAACTGACCGATTTTCCAAAATAGGTGTAGCACAATTATCACAGCTTTCATTTTTGTTCCATTTAGTTTACGGGAAGAATGTGCTCGCTGTGATTGAACAGCCCTTAGAAGAACAAAGACTGCACACAGGAAGGAATACAGTCACGTACCAAGCCCGACTGTTGAAATCACTGATTTATGAGATCATTGGGTGGAATCAGTAAAATCTGTTTGTTTTGCTATAATGGCCTGACCAATCCAGGACTCAGTTAAGGCTATTTCTCAATTCATTTTCTTTACATATCTGGTAATTTGTTTTTTTTAAAATACATATTTTTACGATTTATTCATTTCAAGTTCCACATGTAATATTTTGGAAATGTGATACAACTGAAATTGTAGTTAGCTTTGTTTGTTGGTCATTTGGAAAACAATTTGCTTAGGGTTTACTGAAATGCATATTTCTGGCAACTCCAAATGTACATACCTGATGTGTTTTGAGGGGCTATTTTGTTTTTTGGTACAAGGAAGTAACGTACATATCCTATTCCGATGTTGACAAGGCATTTTTATTATTGCTAATATTTTATTGAATCAAATGAATACGAAACAATAAAAAAAATCAGCAAAACTATCATTGAATTATCATTCTATCAGCAGAGTTTAACTTGCATCCAACATTGCACAGCACAACATGCATCCACCTATGCAAGGATTATTATTATTATTATTATTATTATCCACCTGTCTGAATTTTACCTAGAATATCGTCTGTTCGATCTTTTTTTTGAGAGAGGGAGGGTATGGGGAACGGAAAGAAGTAAAAGCAGGGGGGCATTAAACCAAAGGTGTTTCTTTTCCCAAAACTGGAACTGCCACGGTCCCTAAAAGTAGCTCAGTAAAGTTATGATGGGGGGTGGGGGGGGTAAGCAAGTAAAGAGTAAGCCTGAAGGACATTCAACGCTAAGCTTTAAACACAATGAGAACATTCACACTGGATCAGCACCAAGTTGCTCTGCAGAGGTTGAAAGTGGGCACTTTCTCTCTGCTTCAACATAGCCTGGTTAGCAATAACTTCAACTCAGTGACCGTATGATGTAAAGCCATAAAAATACTGTATTGTGCCCAATTTGTTTTGAAGCGCATTTTTTTTTTTCTCTCCCCTCTGTTATTAGCAGCTCTACCTCAGCCACCAATATATGAGAAAGGGAAGATGAAATAGCTGTTCACCATATCCTAGGACGTACATCAGCGACTAACTAATGTTTTTCTGGGAATCTGAGACGCACATAATTGTCAACGCGTTGGGCACTAACAAGACCAAATTACAATAGAGTACTACCACGAATAGGAGAGGAAACCAAGTGTACACCTTTGAGGTTGATACAGACACAGCTAAAACTAATGATTCAGTGGAATCCAAAGAACAAGCAATAGTGTTGCTATATAACAGTAATGTTCTGCCTTGTTCCATAGAAGCGGAGGTAACCCCCGAGGGCAGCTACAGCAACAGCAGTCATGTGGCTTGAGCAACCACCTGGAACACAAGCAATAGAGACGTTTTAGGTACAAGCCTATTTCTGGTTTATCTTTCAGAAATCCACAAATAATAATACTTTCCTGTTGGTACAGCGCCTCATCGGGCCATCGAAACATCTCATCGTGATTCCTAGAATTCACTGTCTGGTGTAGTGACTGTTTACGTTGTTGTTGAATGTGTGTGTTTGTATAAAGTCACTGTTATTAATAGCACGTACAGGAGTCAAAAGATCCAATACAAAATTGCATTTGTAAAGCGCCTTTCACGTCGGGAAGACTTACCAAGGCCTGAATAGTCAGGGATTAGGAACCGAGCGGGTTGGGTGGGGGTTGGGATCAGGGAGGGTGGAGGGCAGAGCGGGTAGGAGGGGGGGGCGGGGCGAAGGCACGGTCGAAGAGGAGCGTCTTGATATGCAACTAATGCAAACATGTTTAGTTTAAGACGGGCTTACCTTTCAACAATTTTTCTCTCCTTTTTACTCGCTTGTGTTCTGTCAACTTATACGGTTCTTTCACTGATGTATATGCAGAATTGTCTAATTTCAAACCACAAAACATCAGGTGTACATTGTGAGCGCAGTGCCTTTAACAATACTACACAGTACACAGCTTCGTATTTTCCCAATTATGGAATAGATGTTTTGAGCCACATTTCACTAATCTCTCAATACTCCAGGCTCTCGCAAGTGCACACACGTTATTGTCTGACCTGTAGAATTGGTAATTGAACTCCACTATCACATCAATGGCTATAAGAAATATTCGTTGTGGTTAATCTTGGAGTCTAATCTCTCCATCTAATTAAAGCATTCACTTATTTATTGCAGTGTTGGAGGATTGAACTAAGAGCAACAATTAGCTATGCAGTGAGCTCTTGAGCCTTGAAATGAGACAGATCAGAGGGAACCTTATAGAGGTAAATAAGATTCCAGCTACGATTGAGAAAGTAAACCAAAAATAATGCTCCCAATGCAGCAAAACAAGAGGACGCAAGTTTAGAATACATATCAGGAAGTATTTCTTTCTTCGCGCTTCAAACCAGAACTGAACAAATATCTGTTTGTGAACAATATTGAGGTTATAGGGAATAAGTATAGTTTGAGATATATAACAAAAATGCTCTGATGGATAGGACACAATGATACCTGTTGCGGCTCAATTACGTGTGTGTGTGGGGGTGGTGGAGGAGAGAGAGAGAAATGTTGTCAATGGATGGAGAAAAGGACATTCAATGCTAAGTTTTAAACACAATGAGAATCATTTGTGTCTACATTCCCTGTTCATATTTTTAATATACTCACTGGATTTGCCAAAGCAACCGTCTGTAGTTTCCTGCCAAGTCAGAATGTTTTCAAGCCATCGAGTTTCGTAGAACTCCGAGAATCCGGCCAGTCCGCAAACCATTACTAGGAAGAACGATCAATAAGTGTACATGTGGAGTACAACAACAACAGCTTGTGTTTACGCTGCGCCTCCTCGTGCCGGGTAGCGTCCCGGAGCGCTAGACAGTGTCGGAACACGACGCAGAGCAGGGGGGGGATGGGGCAAGAGGAGAGGTGACTGTAGGCATGGTCGAAGAGAAAGGTCTTCAGGCGTGACCTGGGGGTGGGGGTGGGGGTGGGGAAGAAAGGGGGCAGATATATATTATCGGTACAGTTACTGATCTTTCATACAGAGCACCATTAGCTTCGCTGCACTTTAAGTTAGCTTCACATATTGAACTTCAAAGATTTCAGAAATCCTTCTGTAAATTCTGTTCTCTGTCCCCACCTCCCGCGCCCCCCCTCACCCTAGCAGAAATCAGCCTGATCATAAGAGTCCGTCCACAGACTTAAGCTACTTACTGTTTTCCACAAATAAATCGTGCAGGTGCAGTGGAAAGTCATTATCTTCGATCTGCAGGTTTCTTTGCATGATATTGGAACAGAAGATCGTTTTATAATCCTGGACAATGAACGAAACGTGCGATTCTCTCCTGCGCTGAGCTCCCAGAACGTTTGAGCACTTTTTCTAGAATTTTGGAATGGAAAAAATGTTCATTCTGGTACCAGTGAAGGAGAGGTGGGTTTTCTCATGGAAAAGGGAACAAAGCTTGATTTTTCCCATGCTTAAATTAATTACATGGCTTTGAGTTAAACTCTTAAAGTATCTTTAACAAACTGCACATTCATATTCCCCATAAATCAATACTTTAAAGCTCGCTAACTGTCTCCGAACTCAGATACAGTTAGCCATAATCATAGTGGACCCAATTTGCAAAATCACAAATGAATTAGGCCGAACATCCATATATTGAATTATTTAATCACAATTTCCTTAAAGGAGACTAAATATAAGGTAAAAGTAAAGCAGAGGTGGAAATTTCGACAGATCTATTTAATCGCTTAACAGTACTTAACAGAATTAGAATGCAGAAATCGCTATAAATGCACAGGTAAGGAGAGTGACAGGTAATGGAGGCAAAGCAGGCTGTTTTCCAGTCGCAGTCAGTAAAAAAAAAGTCTTGCTTACTAGTTCGGCGATGAGGAAATACAACAGCTGGTGTGAAATGGAATAATCTGGGCAACCAAAAGCTGTCATCAGGTTCCTGCAAGTACTGCTGACGAGGCATGGGAGCCCATAATCATTCCTATATTCAACAGAATGGATAAACATTAACAATCTTTTCAAAGCATTTGGAAAACAACAGCAATCCATTGCTGGGAGCTCGTAGACCAGCTCACTGTATTGTCTCAGCCACTTAGTTTGATTTAACTTCACATTGTTACATCTGCTTTCACTCTATAAACTTCTCGATAAAACTATGGCCCGAACGTAATTGCTGAACAAAACCACTCTGATTAGATGCATCCTTTCAAAAGATATTTAAACCTAATCTGTATTCATTTTTCTGGGTATTAAATCCTACGCTGTGTTATTTGACTTCTCTTTGGAGTTTACGTTTACGTTAAGACAACGCCAATCAACACAATGTGCTGCTAGCAGCGCTCGAAAGCCCAGGAACACCACAGGAGGAGCAAAGCAAGAGAGAAAATATCTAAAGGACAAGCCCTCACAAGAGATGTTTGGAAGAAGAAGGCTCTCCGGCCCATTGAATCGCATCCTTACACAAAACCCTCCCTAACCATCTTCCCATCACAACATCAAAGAGAGATACGAATTTACTGACGTATCAGAAGGCCTTTTGGGGGTAAAAGTACTTACATAAGTAAGTATTTCAATGGAGAGAACTGATATAGCTGGAACAGTACATTAGTTCTGCCTTCTCTTGAGTGTATTCACCCACAAAACATACGGTCACTAGAATTTACAGTATATTCTGTGAAGCGCTTTGAGACATCTACAAGACGTGATAAGGCGCTATATCAAATGCAAGGATTATTATTGTTATACAGTAATTATGATTAGTGGCCATAACGTCAGCCTTTTGTAGAAATTGAGCAAGACGGAACATACCAAGTACCCAGCAGTTGAGTCATACACTTGTCACTGATATCTTCAGGAAAACACTCTGTTGCTCTCGACTTAAGATAAACCAGTTTGGGGTCTGTTTCTTTCCACACCGGATCGAGAGTCCAGAAATCAGTGTTTAGTAGAGGCTCAAAGGCTGCAGGAAAATTAAGAAAATACTTCAAAGTTAAAGCAGCTTGAATTAATCGCCAATGAATTACTAATCCCCCCTCTTCCCTTCCTGAAACTATTTGACTTGTTTTTCCTTCGACTGGTTGGTAGGTTTCACCCACACAACATACAGTCGATTCATTTTACAGTACATTCTGTGAAGGGCTTTGAGACATCTCGAAGACGTGATAAGGCGTTACATCAAATGCAAGGATCATTATTATTACAGGCCCATGGAATGGTAAACGGTAGAGATGGTCTATTGGGTTGTTAGGATAAAGCCATTGAGGACACTGAAGTCACTAAAACCAAGTTAATTTTAAATACGGTTTAATTTAAAGAAGGCATCCGCTAAATGTAACAATCTACCTATTGTGCCCATGTTAATTTATGTTCATCAAACACATTGATGTAACATTGAGTCTGCTCAGTGCAGGTAGTTTGAGTCAGACCTTTGTTAAATCATTTACGATTAGAGGCTCATTGGAGAAAGTTTTACCTTTGAAGTACTTGGGGTCGTTTGCTTTGAGTTGCTCGATGGCTTTCTCTGCGAGGATTTCCAGTCTTGCGAGTAGGTCAACCACCTTTGTACGTTGTAAGACAGCTTCGTGTCCTGAAATTGACCAGTGCTTTAAAGCATCTTCCAGCTGAACTGTGAACAAAACAGTGTTGCTCATGTAAGATCAAACACAATGATGAGTGTCAGTTCTGGGAGAATTTTAACTGTCGCACATTTTCGCAGAAGGAAAAGTTGCAAAACCCACTGATTTTTTAAGAAGGTTTATTATTACCACAATTTCTTCTTAGGAAATATTTTTAACATACCGTAAATGTCAAGGAATTTGCTCTATCTGTGAAAGTAAAGAACTTAGCGTCTATCTGCAACAGACTTTCTGGCGTTTCGTGCTTTTATTTTACTTTGCAAAGAACATTTTAATCAGACAAGAGACAAGACAGACTCTCATGTGAACTTGGGGAACATTTTATTTGTGTTTTCACTGCTGCTACTTGCCACAGAGTCTGTAGATTTCAAACAAAGGGTTGCGACTTCATCTTGGAGCCCAGCGATCAGAAGAAATTGACCGACCAGCTGGAAATCACTGGTTGAACTTTTTCCGTTGGTTCAAAAGAAATAATCGCAGAGACTATTGAGGACAAACAGTGGCTACTGAACTGTGTCTTAGCACGAGTCAGCACCTCCGGGAGAGAAGAGAACTGGGAACATTCAACAACAACAACTTGCACTTATATCGTGCCCTCCACGCAGGGTTGCGTCTCAGAGCGCTTCACAGTGGCGGAGCCTGTCTCCGAGCCGGGAGACTTAATATCTCTAAAAACAAGAAAAAATGCAGGTAGCTGTACTTTTATAAAGTTTCCTTTCCTAATTTGATCGTATTTTGGAGGGAAAAAATAATTTCTTACAACAACAAAAAATCAATAATCCTACGAAAATCAGACATTAGAACATTGTCATCGATAAAGTACAATTTTGAAGTCTATTTATATTGAAGTATTAAATTATATATATTATATTTATATAAGTATGATATTGACATTGAAGCATTAAATTATATTTCTAATTGTTTTATCAGCAATTTAAGACTTTCTTCTTCCGGCACTCCCAAAACAAATGAAGGAATCTGTTCTACATTTAACTAGTTATGGCTTTTCGCTACCACTTCATGCTTTTGTTATCTTTTATTGTCTCCAAAGCCATAGACTCAAGAAAACATTTATTGTCTCCAAAGCCATAGACTCAAGAAAACTTTGATCTAGACGATGCAACGTCTACAGTCAATTCCCCTTTTTTTATTTTGAGGCATCTCAAAGACCTGATACAGCGCTGAAACAAATGCAAGAATTATTATTATTATTGTACGAAACTGAGTTATGTTTTAAACTCTCTTGATAAGGCGCTGTATCAAAACAAATCAGGTTATGTCAAGCAAACAACTCGACATATGAAGGGAAGATCACTGCTCTTCCATCCGTTGTCACATAAGGTGGAAGGGTTTTATTTGCTTTGTGTAATAAAGGCGTCTCTGTTGATCGCACTCTCCCCTCTGAGTCAGAAGATTGTGGGTTCAAGCCCCACGTTGGGCCGGTCCAGGCTGACCATGCAACACAATGCTGAGGCAGTGCTGCGTTGTCAGCGGTACTGTCCTTCACATTGAAACCGAGGTCCCATCTGCCTGTTCAGGTGGATTTTAAAGATCCCATGATACATTTTGAAAAGAGAATGCATTTGGATATTGGACTCTAATTTAGCTTTGGTACCATCTGCCTTGTGATTTGGATGGATGTAAAGTGATGGGTTTCCACTCTGCCTCCTCCCGCTGCTTTTCCAAAGGAATGCAAAGTTTTGCTCCACATTACTTTGGCTTAAATTCCCTCTTCATTCAAATGCCACATTCAAATTAAATTAAATTAAAATTGTTGCCTCATTTTATTGCTGTGTAGCGGATATTGCTGGCACAAATTAGCAGCTGCTTTCCCCTCCAAAGCACTAACTTTCATTTCTAATTCCATTTCTAATTACACCCACAAAATACACGGTCAATTCACTTTGCAGTGTAATCTGCGAAGCGAGTTGAGACGACGCAACGACTTGATAAGGCGCTGTATCAAATGCAAGGATTATATTATATTTTGTAAAGTGCTTAGAGATGTCTGTTTCATTTGAACGCTGCTGCTGCGTATTAAAACAATCTTTAAAGAGATAGCCCGGCACACACGTACACATTACAATGAGTCCTAAATACACACAAAAACACAGACATTTTTCTTTAATTTGGTAGAAGGTTCGTATTGTAGTTTTGTATGGAGTCCCACTGACTTCCGATTCTTGGTAATCAGAATACTTCTTGTTACGATTGCTATTGATCTCATTTTACAAGTAAAAGCTGACCTTTGTAACTTGCGATGGAATAGTAAAACAACATTGCGCAGCATCCTCTATATATGAATGTGGACGTACAGTGTTTAAAACAGGATGGTTATTTGTTTTACATTTTTACTTGACCATATCAATCTCTTTTGCCCTGGTATTTGCTAATACACATACGGAACAATCTATGATCATTCAACCGTGGTTAGCAACATGCTAGTATGTACGCTGTGCCCCATAAGGCTGTACACAGTTCTTGCTTGCATTTGCCGGCAGATTTTCTTTAAAGTCACATCACATCTCGATTTACCTTTTGATCTTAATTGCGTTCGTTTGCCCGTTTCGAACGGATGCTGTTTTAAAACACAAGCGTTCTCTGCAAACGTGTCGCCACCCTAGTACATTTCACATGGCTTTCATTCCTCCTCCTGTAGCTGTGGCTTTTCTCTCTCTCTCTCTCTCTCGCTACACAAGCTTAGAAAAAGCGCAGAGGCACTTGTTTGATTTACCGTGCAACAGACGATATCCCACCACCCCGTCCAAATTAATATTGTCGTATTCGCTTTCGAAGAACGAAGTTGCCATGTCTAGAGATGAAATCACATCGTTCAGCTTATCCTCCTCGGCAGAGAGGCGATTTAGCAGCAGGAAGGCAGTCAACAGAACCAGAGAAACATTCATACTTGCTCCTCAACCTGATCTCAAGCTGTTGGCTCTTCAGAGCCTGGTGGATATATCAATCCCCACCCCTCCTTCTCTCTCTCTCTCTCTCTTTCTCTCTCCAGGGATGAAGTTTGTTTGGCATGAACGTTAAGGCACAGTGGGGTTTAGAAGAGCTGTGCCACTTCTGTGTCTCATTCCAGTCGCTGCTCGATTGTGTTAGGATTTATATTTCATGTATGATGTTAGAATCGTGATAGATGTTGTGAACGGGTTAACTTCTAGATTAGGTATGAGCCAACCGGACACCACCACTGGAACTCGGGGGCCGGACTGAAACTCATGATTGATAACTCACGGTCACGTGAATGTCTCACGCGTGGGCTGCAGCTGCGCGCACGCACCGCGGGATGTTCGCGTGAACCCAGCGTGACTCGGGCCAGGTGATCCAATGCCTGCCCCAAGATTGGACGGACACAGGTTCAAGAACGCCGTGCCAAACCAAGATCGGGGCGCCCAGGACAGTACCTGCCGTGGATGGACGACCGCGAGCTAGAAGGCAGAAGCAGACCACCCCGAGGAGGGCTCGCTACACGGCGGCATTGCTCTGTTGGTGAATCGATTGATTGCGTTCACTTGCCCTCGCCCATCGGGAACTTGAACGGATCCTTGAGCTTAAATAAAAAAAAGCCACTCTGGTTGCAAACAGCAGTTGTGCTCGATTGAAACTCGCATTCTTCAGTTCTCACAGTTGCGTCTGTGTTTGCTTCACGTTTCTCCATCTGTTCTGATCAAAGCTGCCCGGCGCCGAGTAGAATTATGTGGATTCCCAAAAGATAAAAAGCAAAGGATTCTGATGTGCAATATATATACTGTATTACCTCAAATATACAAGGTTCTGCTTTAGGTATCAGGGCATTCCAGCAGAGGGGGGGGGGGGTAAATGCTTATTATAATAATCCTTGCATTTGATATGGCGCCCTGTTGGGTCATCAAGAAGTCTCAAAGCGCTTCACAGGATTTGCTGTGAAGTGTAGTGACTGTGCATTTGTAAATGTGTTCTGTGTGTACATCTGTACCCTGCTAAATGTAATACTTTTACACGAGGGGAGACTCCATAATAGAACAAGGCTTGTACTGTGAATCACTGGATTTTATTATCGTCCACAATAATAATAATCCTTGAATTCGATATAGCGCTTTATCACGTCTTCGAGACGTCTCGAAGCGCTTGACAGAATATACTGTTACTTGTAGTGACTGCATGTTGTGGGCGAAACGCGGCAGGCTACTGCGCACAGCAGCGTCCCACAAATAGTCGTGGATTTTATCTAAGTGACTAATTTACCTATTTTAAACGCCAACCTGTAAGAGAGGGCTGTAATTAAAGTAAAGAGTTCTCCTTCTCGGAATGTTATTCTCATTAGCACTAATGACAAGATAACCAGAATTTTATGGCTCCAAGGTGTCAAAATGAGAGAATTAACTGAAGAGGTGAACTCTTCACACTCGTGTACATCAGGACTCGAAAGGACCCTCAAAATTCCCGTAAGGTCAACACATAATCACCTAAGCGTGCATGTTAGGGATATAAAAGTGACCGGATGAACCGGTTTGGGAATACGATTGGCTAATCGAACTGTGAACCCTTAATTGGGTAAATTAACATCTGGTTCCACCCTTTTGTCACAGTTATCGTGCACCCAAACTTTGGGGTATAAAAGTTTCAATTCAGTCAACCTTTGGCGAGCGAGATGCCCCAAAAAAGGAATGCCAACCCCCTCCCGCAGAAGGAAAAAATTACGATTTACCGAATGATTCTCGGGAGTTAGTCGCCACTAGATATGAACCATCTCAATATAGATTTGTCATAACTGTACCTGAGATTGTTACCATCGTATTTATGGGTTAAAGAAATAAACCATTACTGGCGTGATCGCTGTCTCACAAGTAACCTCCAACCCCGTCCACTCCGCCGCAGTGATTTTTCCATGACTCAAATTTAACCGGCAGCCCCCAATTCCTCCCCCCAAAAAAAACCAAGCCCCGACTGCTGCAGTTTTCAGTGCGTTCGGTGAGATCAGAGAAAAATAATTCGAAGAGCGGGACTGCAATGCCACCTGCTGACTTGCATTTAACTTTGCAGTGTTTCATGAAACACGTACGCGCGCGCGCACGTCAAGAGGGCAATCGGGAGCTTCAGCTCGAAATAACGGTATCGCAAACCGTACGCGAGTCAGCACCGAAGCGTCCAGGAACCAGAAAAGTAAGGCTATTAATTCTGGTGCGCAACACGACAAGAGACGTTCACGTTCAGCTCCCGGTTCAGGGAGCGCTCTTCAATGCTTTGCGCAACCGCGTTTTTAATCGGATCCGGAATTCAAACCTTTCAAGTCGCTTTCACCACTTAAACCCAACGGAAGGGCTTCACAAAACCGTACCAACCGACGCGACGCTGACCGGGATCGCCGCGCACGAGCCAAACCGAAACACGGCCCCGACAAATCACATTTGTGAAGCGCCTCTCACGTCGGGAGGAACGTCCCGACGTCTGGCAGCCGGCGGCCCCCGACGGCAACTCGGGTCCATGTAGCGCCCCTCGCGCAGGATAGCGCCCCAGAGCGCTCGACGGGCGGAGCGCAGCGCGGCGCAGCGCGGCTGTATAAACGCACGCTGCTGTTGTCTCTGTATTGGGACGATATTGTGGCGCAGTCCGGGAGGAGCGTTTTGCTGATTGTTTGTAGCTGCATTTCAACAACAGACAGAGGCAGTGACAGAGGCACCACCACCCCCCCACCCTCACACCCCCCCCCCAGACACCCCCCCCCAGACACCCACCCTCACCACCACCCCCCCACATTCACACCCACCCTCACCCCCATACCCCACACACAAACCCACCCACACACCCACCCTCATCCTCACACCCCCCCCACACCTCCCCACCCCCCCCCCACACACACCCCCCCACCCCCACCACACCCCCACTCCTACCCACACACACCCACCCTCATCCTCACACCCCCCCCCACACCCCCCACACACACCCCCACTCACACCCACACACACCCCCCCCCTCACCCCCCACACACACACACTCACCTCCCCATACCCCGCCCCCCCCACATTCCCCCCGACCCCCAAACACATACCCCACCCCCCACACACACAGGGCAGCCGCCCCTCAGGTTCAGGCTGTGTGAGTGTGTGTGTGTGGGGGGGGGGGGGGGTGAGGGTGAGGAAGTGAAGCCGTCTCCATGGTGACAACGCCTCGGGAGGGGGGGAGAGGAGGGGAGGAATAAAATCTCGCGAGGTTTAAGGGGACCGGGATGACGTCTCGCGGTGTTTGAGCCGAGGCCCGCCCCCCAGTGGTGAAGTCTCGCGGTGTTTGAGCCGAGGCCCCGCCCCCCAGTGGTGAAGTCTCGCGGTGTTTGAGCCGAGGCCCCGCGCCCCGTGGTGAAGTCTCGCGGTGTTTGAGCCGAGGCCCCCCCCCCAGTGGTGAAATCTCGCGGTGTTTGAGCCGAGGCCCCGCCCCCCTAGTGGTGAAGTCTCGCGAGGTCGGGGCCGGGGTCCGGTTGCCATGGGGCTGAGGCTGGAGCTGTCGCTGCTGTTCGCCGCCGGCGCCGTGTGCGGCTACTCCCTGACCTGCCTGGGCCTGCCGCTGCTGACCGGCCTGGTGCTGCTGGGCCTGGGCACCTGCCTGGCCTCCCTGGTCTGCCACCGGGCCTGGGGCAGGGCCGAGCGGGCCGGCAAGGCCTGTGTCCTGGTGCTGGGCGACCTGGGCCGCAGCCCCCGCATGCAGTATCACTCCCTGTCGCTGGCCAGGCACGGCCTCGCCGTCACCCTGCTGGGCTACCCTGGTGAGTCAGTCAGTGGCCCACACAGTGCTGGGCTACCCTGGTGAGTCAGTCAGTGGCCCACACAGTGCTGGGCTACCCTGGTGAGTCAGTCAGTGGCCCACACAGTGCTGGGCTACTGTGGGCAGTCAGTCAGTGGCCCACACAGTGCTGGGCTACTGTGGGCAGTCAGTGAGTGGCCCACACAGTGCTGGGCTACTGTGGGCAGTCAGTTAGTGGCCCACACCTGTGGGCAGTCAGTCAGTGGCCCACACAGTGCTGGGCTACTGTGGGCAGTCAGTCAGTGGCCCACACAGTGCTGGGCTACTGTGGGCAGTCAGTCAGTGGCCCACACAGTGCTGGGCTACTGTGGGCAGTCAGTCAGTGGCCCACACAGTGCTGGGCTACTGTGGGCAGTCAGTCAGTGGCCACCAGGCTTTTATTTTGGGGGCCGGCGGTCAGGCCGGTGTGTTGACGCGCGGGGAAACTCATCATCAATCAATCAATCAATCGATAATAATATTCCTTGCATTTGATACAGCGCCTTTATCACGTCGCCTTCACAGGTTAGACTGTATTGTGGAATTAGACCCCACAGGAAGGAGGCCATTCGGCCCATCGTCTCCGAGCCGGCGCTTTGAGAAGAGCTTCCAAGTCAACCCACTCTCTCTCTCCCCACTTTGCAAGTGAGAGACCTGAGTTAAATTCCAGGCAGAGGGCGAAACCTCGGGCAAGTTTCCTTACTCCACACAGAGCCTAATAATAATCCCTCCAACACCAAAAACAATAATAAATTGGTCATTTTCAATCTACGACTGTTTGTGGGACATTGCTGTGCGCAATTGGCTGCCGCGTTCGCCCACAAATATACAGTCAATTCACTTTACAGTGTGTTCTGTGAAGCGCTTTGGGATGTCCTCCCGACGTGAAAAGCGCTATATCAAATGCAAGGATTATTATTATTATTGCCCTGATCAACCCCACTCCCCCGCTCTCTCCCCATAGCCCTGCAACCTTGTCCTCCCTAAATAATGATCTACTCTCTTAAAAGTTGTTATTGAATCGGCTCCCACCGGGCTCTCGGGCAAGGCATTCCAGGAAAGTGGAATGAAGTTTCACCCACAAAACACTGGTCAGCCAATTGCGCACAGCGGCATCCCACAAACAGTCGTCCAAACCGACCTGAGGTTTCCACCTGCACGTGGGAATTCACGAGATGGATTGGTTGGAACGACGTGAGCTCGACATTGGTACATAATATCTGAATTCTGTTTGCAGGTGCGAAACCCCATCAAGACGTTTTATACAATGAAAAGATTAAGATTTTTCACATCCCTGAAATAACAGCGGTTAAATGTAAGTTTTATTGCGTTTACGTGGTAATTATAGGACGTGTGAAGGTGAAAACTGAGCTTGAAGGACAGTTGTAAAAATCTAGTCTATTTTGCATGGCAAAATAATTTGTCTGTGAAAATGTGAATGCGATTAAATCACAAGTTTTCTGTATTTTAGGACACTGCAGAATTTTAGGTTTTGCCTTTCTATTTTATAGTTGGACCAAGGATTTTCCAGTACGGTATCAAAGTCTTTGCACAGACCATACAAATATGTTATAGTCTTCTGAAGATTGATGCACCTGCATACATTCTTCTGCAGGTAAAGACCTCATACATGTTTTCTTATATTATGAATCGTTTAGATTACGTACAAAGATTTATTTTCTTGTCTTTGCAATTGCTAACAGAATCCACCAGGCCTCCCTGCTATAGCAGCTGCGTGGGCAGTATGTTTGCTGAGAGGTAGTAAGCTTATTGTCGACTGGCACAATTATGGTTATACCATCATGCAACTAACACACGGAGAACGTCACCCTATTGTTCTGATCGCCAAATGGTGAGTATAGTTTTTCATGTGCATATTTAAAATTATATTAAGTATTTGCTGTTATTGCTTATTTCATGCTTCATTTCATGTAACTATCGTGAATTAAATTATTGAAAATGAGGTGATTCCAAAACATTATAGTGGAATAATATATTACAAACCATTTGTTAACTTTATTTTCTGTAATATTGATCTTAAAATTCTGTAATTAATATTTTAATGGAGAGAAAGTCATGCGCTGTAAACACACAGATAAAGCAATTTTAGGAGTGTCAGAATTGTTTTTGTTACAATTGGGAGAATTAAATAGTTTGTATTTCTATACATGGCGCAGCCTAGTTGTAACTCACTTTGATTGATTCAGTTATAATGCAATTGCAATGTAGATCTCATTCACTGAGCATTCACATATGTTCTGAACCCGCATTTGTTTTCAAAACTAGGTATGAAAAGCTTTTTGGAAAATTCTCCAATTTTAATCTATGTGTTACCAAAGCTATGCAAGAAGATTTGAAACAAAATTGGAATATTAAGTGAGTGTTACAAACTTTCCTAACCTTTGCACAAGTTTAAAAACTCTTAACTGTCTTCAATCTTTCTTCATACTTTGTCATGATTTGTTTTTCGTCAATGTACACATTTGTTCTATTCCTTAAAAAAGGAATCATTGTACAGTAGTTTTAATCGTATCACAAATCCGTGTAGCCCTATATAACCTCCACGTTCAAGTAGAAACTAATTTTTCACATCTTGTTGCGTTTAATGTTAAATTGAATAATCTGCTTGACTAAAGAAATAAAATATATTGTCTTCTCTCAAAGAGCAATCACACTGTATGACTGCCCACCGCCCATCTTTAGAGAAACTCCACTGGAATTGCAACATAAGCTATTTAAAAAGCTTGCCTATGAGTATTCCCAATTCACAGCAAGGTATGCATGGTATAAAGTACAAAGTACAGAAGTACAAAAATGCTCTAACCAAAACTATGTCGTATTGATCGACACAAAGAAAATATTTTACGCTGAACTGTGTCAGAATATAGAAATATAATGAATATTTGGTCAAGTTAGTTTTTTTATTGTTATTGTGATGACATTTATTCAAATAAATATTGATATAAAATAAACATATTCTTAGCGTTCTAGAAATAAATCTTACGATAAATCTTTTAACAGTTAAAACGCATCTGTAGTCTAATGCCGTACAAAGTGAACATTGTATTTTTGGTGTGAAACTAGGATAGAATGTGTGTCTCCCAATATGGAACAGACTGCCTTTACAGAAATGAACCTCGATACCGGGATTGTTACACATGTACGAGGAAGGCCAGCGTTATTGCTCAGCAGTACTAGCTGGACAGGTCGGTCACAAACTTTTTTTATTCTACACAGCAAGATTTGGCGTTCTGCTTTTCCTATACTTTGCATCAGTACAGCTCCTTGGAGCGCAAGTCAGTTAGTCCAACCCGGACTGTTTTTGTACTCAGTGTTTGCAGTTCTCCTGTTAGTTTGCAGTTTGTCACACCTACTTGTGTAGGTGTGACCCTAACCCAAGTCACACCTACACAAGTAAGGTGTGACTTGCGAAATAGTTTGTAACCAGAGGAAAATATTCAGAGAATTTCCAGGTCGGAGATTAGAGTCTTGAGATTTTACGGCAATAGGTAAAATTCCTTGATTAATATCACCTCCTTGTGGCTGAATAAGGTGTAGCCCAGGGAAAAAAAATAAATCCAAGTGATCCAGATATTCTCCTATAGGATTTACAGCTTCAAAGGAACACAAAAACCTCTTGATTCACAAATTATTTTTCAAGAGTTTCTAAAACTCCTTTTCGGCTTTTCCAAATTTTCAACGTACCTATCACCATAACTAATTTATCATAGCGCACAAAAGTTTTTTTTTTAATCGATTGGGTGAAAACGGCATTGCCCATTTATTGGAATTAGTAATTGAACATTGCACAAAATGGTAACACTTATTTGCTGAGACCATCTTTTGTCAAACCATATACATGGTTAAATGCATAGTGTAGTTTGTTAGGAAATTGCCGTACTTTGTAACTTTGCATAAAAATAGTTAAAGCGCACTTTTAAGAGCAATATCATTTTTTCCCCATACTTGTAAGCTGCTTGCTGTATTAATGTAAATTCCACCAATAATCAACAATGATGGGTTTACGTATCATTTAGATATAATTTAGCAGAATATAATCTGTAACAGTTTATACCAATATTTCTCCCCATCACTTTGATTTCAGAGGATGAAGATTTCTCCATTCTTTTAAAATCGCTGGAAGGTACGTTGTTACAAGGCCTTTATGCACTGTTAATATTAATTAGCTGAAATGCGTTTACTGTGATCAAACTTCTTTTGCAGTGTCACACTCTTAACGATCATATATAAACTACTGTGGGAACTGACCTACAATTTGGAAAATCTTATATGATCTGATCATAGTTAGAAAGGAGTGACGTCAAATGGCACTCTTCGCTCTTGATGATTGAACACAATTTTGTGGTCATTTTTGAGTAGTCATTGTGACAGAAATTGACTGCGGTAATAATCTCTAGATTTCTTTTTGTTGCAGTGTTTTGACAACCATTTTTGAAACTCCGGTATGTTTGTGCAAACCTTTTAAATCTCTGTATTCTGTGCATCCATAGAGTATGAAGGCTTCATAATCGACGGCTTTCCATTACCGTCGCTTATTTGTGTCATTACAGGTAATTGTTCTGTACATTCTATGATAGACTGTTAGCGCGATTTATCATGTTCCAATTTGGTTTATTTCATATTATCAAATAGACGTATTATCAAAATATTTGTATTTTCAGTACCAAGTCCAGCGAGATTAAAAAGTTGGATAACATTTTTTTCAAGTGTACATGCACATGGCTGTCTGCTTTGGATACTCTTAAGCATTTGTTGTGGGTTTTCTGCATGTGTCAGACACCCAGCTGACCAATACAAAAAGCACTAAATATCATCAGGTTTCACAAAGCTTCAAGAGAAAAATTTAATTTCACTTGTCCCACCGCAGACCATCCAAACCAGTTTATATGCAATTCATACAAAAGATTTAGAAGTTTACAGATAATCCCCTTCCTCCCTCCCTCCCTCCCTCCGCCCCTCCCTTCCTCCCGGGGAATGGATTATAATTGCTGCTGTACATTTTTGTGGGTGTGTTTTTTCAATCATTTGATTTTTGGATTTTTTCAGGAAAGGGCCCACTGAAGGAATTTTATAACAAGCTAATAGAAAAAATAAATTTTAAGTACGTTCATATTTGCACTCCGTGGCTGGAAGCAGAAGATTATCCTGTACTGCTTGGTAAGCTTTGTGTGGTAATTATTATACACGTTATCCATGCTTTTTTGCCTGTATCATTTCTCGTTGCCTTTTTGAATTTTATGATGATTTCTCCAGTGGTGCAGTTTGTAGTTCTGACACAGCGCTGCCTCAGTGCTTCGAGATGCTAACCTAAGTGAAGCCACTACAAGTTGTTGTAGTTTTATAAGCCCATGCTCCAGCGAGGTGCACTGCATAACAGGGTTGCCCTGAATGTTTGCGACAGGACTCTGACTCTGTAATTGCACATTGCAACAACATTTCGCCCACAAAACGCACAGTCGCTACAGTTTACAGCATATTACAATATATTCTGTGAAGCGCTTTGAGATGTCTCGAAGACGTGATAAGGCGCTATATCAAAGCAATGATTATTCTTATTTAACACTTAATGCGATAAATCATGTCATTTCATTTTTTTTACTGATCATTTTCAGGCTCTGGTGATCTTGGAGTCTGTCTTCATAAATCATCCAGTGGCCTAGATTTGCCTATGAAAGTGGTCGACATGTTTGGTTGCTGTTTGCCTGTATGTGCAATTCATTTTCAGTGGTGAGTCTAATCCACAGTATTACCTCGGTCCTTCCCTCTGTATTTTCCCCCCACTCTTTCTACTCGGCCCACAGTGCAAGGGGTCACTTTTTGATGGATTGTTGATGTATGTTTACATGTCTTCATATCTGGCACTTTAGTGACTAAATAAAAAAAAATCTAACTGAATAGTTTTTTTGTTGGCTGGGCATTTAGAAGACGGGTTATAAACAGGTCAGGTTATAGCACAGTCGTCAGTCAGCATTTCTGGATCATCACGTTGCTGCTGGCATCGCCGAACGGTCACTGATCTGATGATCATTACTAGCTGTTGCTGCTGATGTCAGGAGGTGATCTGTGCCAGAAACCGGCTAATCGGTGCCAAATGAGTACCAGACTTGTGTATATTTGCGCAGCACTCACTTTTGTATCCTGCTGGTTCATGGTGTGCCCGTGCTATAGATTAACTTGTACACCAGGATCTCACTTACAATTAATTGAATTAATTAATTTAGCAATTAAATTAAATGCCTATTACCTTGGCGTGTTCAATAGTTGCTGTCTCTCTTTCACCATTTAAATCAAACGTGTTCTTTCTGTTTCCTGTTTTACAGTTTACATGAACTCGTGAAACATGAAGAAAACGGTTTAATATTTAAAAGTTCCCATGAATTGGCCGAGCAACTAAAGGTACAGCGAAGGAGTTGACGAATTCAAATGCGGGCTGAATAGGTTGAAACGATGAAGAGTTTCACTCAAAAGCAACCAAACTTAATTTTGTAAACATACAGGGTTTTAGTGCTTTAAAAATCCTTTGTAGATTTCTATGGTGCATTGTGCGTATCAATGCATTTCAATTTAAAACATCCGCAAAGTATTAGCACTTTTTCGCTCGTCGTAAGAAACAAAAGAGGAAAATACCAGACAAAAACCTAGGACTGGCTTGATGGAACTGTGATGGATAGTGTAAGAAAAGGTGATGTTGGAAGAGAGCCTGACACACTGTGGGTTAAGTAACACCTCTGGGCCCTGGACTCGAATCCAGTCCAGACTGATTGAGATGAATGTCTTCTCGCCACTGGCTTATTAGGCTCTAAATGAACTGAATTTGGACAGAATCACGTTTTCTACGTGGGTGGATCCACACTACAACTCGCACAATTTCCCCTCCATTAGCAATAAATTGAGTGTTACTCAAGAGAGGCTGTAAAAATGTTGGTGTGGGTAGCGGAGAAAGTTTACACCTGTTACTGAAATTCTCAAGTGACGTTCCCAGCTCGGCAGACAGCTCTGCCACTGTTAAGCGCCACAAAACGCTACCCTGCCTGAACAACAGCTTGCATTTACACAGCGGACTTCACATGGTGCAGTGTTTTGGAGCGCTTGACAGTCGAGGAGCTTGACGTGACTATGTAACTGCAAGTTGTTGTCATTGCACTTCACTTTGATCAAGACAAAAGTAGAGATGAGAACACCACGTATACTCTCCACATAATTATAAACACTGTACCAAAAAGGTGCAGACAATTCAAGCAAAGTAAGTGGTGTGCAGGATGGATCTACTGCCTGAACTGATTACTGTTCTACTGATATGGCTTAATAGATGGGCTACAACTATATAATCATAGTACAGATTTCTAGTCACACTGTTAGCAAAATACATTTTTATTATCTTGTACTTCTTGTCCATCTTCTAAAAGTCTTGTGTTTTTTTTAAAGCTTCTCTTTACAGATTTTCGCAGTGAAAATAGCAAACTAAGCCTCTTTAAAAGGACACTGAGAGAATCAAAGCAAGTTCGATGGGATGAAAACTGGGACCAAATAGTACTTCCTCTCCTGATAGAAAATGAATGATATATGGGACCACTAATGTTTATAAAATTCTGTTATTATGGTGCTGCTGGAATTCGGTTTGTTGTCGTGACTGACTAGTCTGTGTTGATATTTTGGGCAGTATCACAGGGTGCCTCTGAGGGAGCAGGAGGAATGCAATTTGGGTTAAAGTTTTGAGGTGTTTCGGTGCACATGCTTGCAATGTGCCATGTGATGTATGAAATAGGAGCTGATGAGTGTACAAAAGGGAAGCTTAGCACAAAGATAATTAACACTTGCCTTGATTTAATCAGAGCCTTAATTTAAACAACAAATGCAATACTGTATCCAAACTTGAAATCTAACAACAGACGACTTCGTCTTAAATCGGTCCTTAAGACTTAATTTTGAATGCTATGATTTTGACATTGTTCAGTAAATTTCCCAACACCTGAATTCGTGTTCATCCACATTATAGTATAACAAGTTTATTTTTAAAATGTGCGTTGATAAAATGGAAATGAGGGGAAATGTGAGACTTCAAAGCCAATTTTTTTTGAACTTCAGGTGTTTATAGCAACTGAGAAAACCCTGGAAGCTATAGGCCTTCATTACACAACTCATGATATGTATGGAAATTTTCTGGTCAGTTTTAGCCTTGAGCTTAGTGAAAATAACTAATTCCAATATTTTCTTCAGAGTGGATTATTAAATGTGAAGAGAAACATTTATTTTTNGGTTGTCCGGTAAGTATTTATATTCGGTGGTTTGTATATACCGACGGGTATAACAGATTACTTATTAAAGCATTATTTTGTAAGAACAAAAAAACATAAAACTACTTTTTAAATAAAAAAAATGGCCTTGGACTGACTTTGTTCCCGTGTAAATAAGTCTCAATTCACATTTTGGATACAGCTCTACAGCAATGTTCATTCTGGGTGTAAAGGAAGGAGACTGACTGTATGTGTCTGAACCCCAGTGCTATGCATGGGAGCTCTCTTCTGCAATTTTATTTTCTCAAATGTTATTGCAGTTTCTCTGAAATAACATGAACGGAATAGCATGTTTTTGTGTCAATGTCACTATGTAATGAGTGGTTTTCACACCTGCAATGGTCCCAAGCGTCAGGTTGGCTTGGCTCTTCCTCAGAAACCGAAAGAAAAAAATCACTTTAGCGATGCATCTCTTTTTAATCGCTCTGAAAAAAGCCGCGGCATCATCACAGGCTTAAGAAGGATAACCTGTGCGTGTTGGTAAATAAATGGTGTGTAAGAGGAGAAAATATCCTAACTGAATAGGAAAGTCAAGAATACACTGATTACCCATTTAATTTTCAGCTTTATTTGTTTTTTTAAAAAGTTTACAGAAACTTGACAATTACTTTTCATGATGTAATCTGAGCAGCTCTATTTTTGTGGATCTGTTGTATGGAAACACCTTTGTGGTGGGGCTTTTGATCACCTGGTGTTTGATTGCAACCTTATCTGTTTTTAAAAAAAACATTTGAAAATACAGTATTTATTTGTGTATTTTATCACCAAAACACATCCACCTTGCAGCAATGCATATTAATTCCTAAAAACCAAATCTTCCTCCTTTGCGATCGTGAATATCTTGATGAGGAATGTTGGTTATTTATACATGGGCTGTTTGCTTATCGTGGATAAATAAGTAAAAATTAATGCGTCAATGAACTTTCGCAGTGCATATGTGCAAAATTTATGTGGTACTGATGTCCTTAAACATGCAATTAACCACTGATGAGAACGATATCGTTAGCTGTGCTTCTTTTCATTGTTTATGTAATTAAGGGCACGCCTACCTGTAATTCCCTCTGTACACCTGTGCTTCCCTGTTCCAGTGCAAAGCTCACATGATACCTCCTAAAGGTTGAGAGACACTGACTTACCAAGCTCTGTCTTGAAGAGGTGATACGTTTCTGGATTACGTATGGTTGATGCCACATACATGACTGGATGTCTCCCAGTTCCTTCCGACGCGTGAATCAGAAGCTTCTCCAGTACAGAAATCAGACAAAAGACCACTTCAGGATCGTAAACTATATCTGTTTCAAGAGGAAGAAAAGGAATGGAGTTATATTCAGGTATTTATCCATCATTGCTATATTTTCTTTCATACACCATCTAGATATTTACAAAAAGTATGGATTACAAAACAAATAGATATTTGTTAGCTCAGGATACGGGCCTTGAGGTACAGATCAGCCACAATCTTATGGAATGGTGGAACAGGCTCGAGGGGCTGAATGGCCTCCTCCTGTTTCTATGTTCTGCACCTTCTCATCTATTGTTTTGTATTGGATTGGTTACAAGCACATTGTTCATCACTGCTGGCTTCCTCTGTGCAATGAACTCATTCCTGTACCCGGTTGCATTATTTATTGTGGATATAAATACAGTATTATTTGAGGGTGGGGGGGAAACAAGAGGGGCAGAGATTCAATGAACTTGTTTTAACATCCGTCATTTAAAATAATAAATGGATGATTTTGCCTCTGTTACTGACCGGGCGAATAAAAGGTCAATGATGCGTGGGTTTGATACGTGGGTTTGAGTCGACTGAAGAGACTTCAGCGGAAAGATTATAAAATCTCATATCTGCAGAACAAACCTGATCAGTGTGAGCAATTGTTTTTCAGCAGTTCATCATCTAATGAGTATTTCTGAGATAATCATCTCCGGGACTCCATGCTGCTTGAAGGGCGCTATACAAATGCAAGAGGTTGTTGTTGTATCTCGTTGTGGAGTTTTAATACCTTAGTTTATGGTAACAAGCGTTCAGTCATAAAGGTCTGAACCTTATTCAGAAGACTGTTATTTGTGTTTTTCTGGTTCCATTATATTTAATCTACTTATGCCACCGGCTACCTAGAATTCAGTCAATTCCCTCCTCTGACAACTCTGGAGAATTAAATTCTGATGATGTATTCAAAGAAAGTGCAGAGACTGCAAACAGATTACATCTCATTATCACCGCAGCAATTTGTTTCCCTCCTCTTAAAATTGGAGAGACATCGGTTTGTATGAATTTTTAGATTAGCTGGCGTTCTCATTTAGAAATACAGATGACACAGAAGAACAGCTTGTTTGCTGCTCGATCATAATAGATTTCAGAGCCGTGAGTTTGCCCTGAAATATGTGGTACAGCACTCTATTACGGCAGTCAACTCATGCGCACTGTTTGGTAAATGCAAAATTACACATCCAAACACATTGCAGATGTCTGCCTTGTGGTGATGATTACTAGGATTTAAAATGCTGAGGGAATTCTATTATCAAGAATAACTACAGTGTATGTGATGTGTGGGGGTGAGGGGGAAAGGAAAGTGGTTACTGAGCAGATATAGTAGTCACCGTACTGGTGCTTACAGTTTGTTGACAATCTCGTAAATCTTTCAGAACGTAAACTAGGGAAAGCATAGAGCGGTTGCAGTGAGCAAGTTGAATGATTCTTTGCCAATAATTAGACTTCTGTATGCGTTGTACCTTCTCCGCTGCGGAGTTGACAGGATGACACGTACAATTCCGAACGAACGGGTTAGACAACACGTCCGACCTGGCTTTCCAATTTATATTTCCCCCGCCCTTCTCTCTTCGCGAGGAAACGCTTTCCCCCTTTGCTCGCCTTGGTGGCCCTTTCAACACGAAGGGGGCCAGAGACCTCAACGCACGTCCATCCCGGCATCCCTGTGGTGTGGTGCGGCAATAACTTCCGTGCATTTGCGACGCTGAACGCGAAATGCGTCCCTTTCCATACTCTGGGAACTTCAGTCATGTTTGCTGGCCTGAAGGCTGCCCACAAATTGCACGTGTACACGACAACAAGAACGACGACGACGCATTACATTTGTACGCACGCCTTTCGCGTCAGGAGGATGACCCAAGGCCCTGGACGGGTTGGGGTCTGCACCCGAGCTGGTGGTTGGGATCAGGAGGCGGGGGGGGGAGGGTGCAGGGAATTAGGTACACACGGCCAAAGCACAGACAAGCAAGTAAAGCAGGTGCCCTCTATGCACGACCGGGCATGAGAGTGCTGACCTCCCCTTTGAAGAACGTTCTGATTGATACCTGTTGCAACGATGACATCCGCCTGAAGCTGCGCGATTTGCTCTCGACTAACTTCTTCCCAGTCCAGCCCGAGAGCAGCTACGTTTAGCGTCCGTCCCCCTGCGGGTTCGACGCTGCCCTCGACGTCTGCTTCAGGACCCAGCAGGCTCCACGCGCAGGAATCCAGGAGCAGGCCGTTGCTGAGGATGTTCTTCCTGAGCTGCTGAAGCACGCCAGGGTGGCAGTCGCTGAACATGTACCTCTTGGGGCTGCAGGTCTTGCAAATTGTAATGCCGGTGAAGCCGATCCCACTGCCCAGCTCCAAGACAGTCCTGCGGAAGCCAAAGCCTTAAAATGGGACTCGTTTCAAAACCGGCATCGTTCGCGAAGCGTGAATAATAACCGTCTCTGCGTTTGAGGCAGCGCCCTATTCGCGTCGGGAGGACGCCTCAAAGCGCTGCGCGGGATTCACCGACGCGATTCGGGCGCCGTATGTCAAATGCGTGTTTTTCCGAGGATATTTTTTTTAGGGCTTGTAAATGCTGACCTGCCGTGAAAAACCTCAGGGTTTTCCATCGCCCATTCGGCAAAGTACAGAGCAGCTTCCCAGGTGACGAGACCGGTTGTTCCCCCTGAGATGATCGCCACGTTTTCTGTGAGTGTAACGTACTCCTTCGACGGCTGAATGATTTTAAAGCAAAAGTCAGACGTACAGAATAATTTTTCACCTATAACTCCGTCGTTCAATGCGCTCGTCTCGCAAGTGAGAGGACTCGGGTTCCAATCTTAGTCAAGTTTCCTTATTCGCCTCTGTTTACCTAGCAGTGAGGAACTCGCTTGTCGATTGGCGGATTCTCTTTCTGGGGGTAATAATCCCTTCATTTGGTCACTTCAATTCACCACTGTTTGTAGGGACGCCGCTGGGCGCAATTGGCTGCCGCGTTTCGCCCACAAAGCACACAGTCACTACACTTTACAGTATATTCTGCGAAGCGCTTTGAGACGTCTCGAAGACGTGATAAGGTGCCATATCAAATGCAAGGATTATTATTATATTACGTAAAATGGGTATCATCTACTATGGGAAGACATATTACACATATAGTATACAGTGGCTTAATTAAACAACTGAATTAATGAACAAGTTACAGTATTCCCACTCTACCCCTCTGATTCGACCTGTCTTTATGTCCCAGCTAATAATCTTACATTTTCATCTGTGTCTATGGTCAACTCCACCTTTTACCCCTTAACTGGGGGGTTGTTTATATATCTGAGATTTTACTGTCACTTTTCGACACCTGCCGTGAATTTTTAATATGTTTTTTTTTTAAAAACAAAACGATTTCCATCTGTACACAAATCCGCCGGTGAATTGTGCACGTACCAAAAGGTAATTTTTATGACAGGTCTCGGACTCTTCAGCATTTAAAACTTCGCCCAGTGCATCATAAAGCTGATCCAGGGGCTCGCTGCTTGTGAGTTCGTGCTGCGGTGGGGGCGGGGGGGAGGGGGAGGGAAAAAAACATTTTGAATGGGTTCATTTACATACCTCAGGAAAAAGTGGGTAAATGTTGCAGATGTGGAATACTTGACGTGATGAAGTCAACAACCCGAATCTCTGGAACACTCTCCCTCTATCTCTCCGCCTTGCCCCCTCCTTCCCCATCTTCGGGTCGCGCCTGAAGACCTTCCTTTTCGACTGTGCCTACAATCACCTGCCCCACTCCCTCCGGCTCGGAATCGTGTGTGCCACTGTCTGGGACGCTTCCCTGAGTGAGAGGCGCTATATACGTGCAAGTTGTTGTTGTTGAAGTGTGATGGTTAACATATCAGTGTCTTCAGTTGCAAAGTGATTCTCAGTCACCCCGCAAAACAAGATATTTACTGCGTTATCCTTGGCCGGAACGTATTTGTGTGTTTAAGACTCGGAACAGGGAGGCATATTTTTGTTGTTGTGGTTGCCGCTTTGTAACATCAGGTGTAAACATTACCAGTCGTCAGCCTGTCTCAGTGGGCAGCGGGACAGTGCACAGTGTATATTCCTGTGAATCATTTGGGGACGTCCTCCCAATGTGAAAGGCGCTATATCGGATACAAGGATTGTTATTATTTCGTCACGCGAATAGAATCACTAAAAGATGCAATCAAACAATCAGGACCAAAGCGGGGTTGGGGGTTGGGGGTTGGTGGAAGCAGAAGTACCTTCTTAATCAGCTCGGAGAGAAATCGTCTTCTGTACTTCACTGAAGGAGGATATTTATTACAAAGCGGGTGAAGCACGGTCTAACAAAATAAACAGAGGACACACGGGCAGGTTAGTACGTAGAAATCGGTTGAAGTAACGTTTTAAGTCACGCTTTCCACGTTGCGTTTCTTACCGGATGGCATCACCGACGCCTTATTCTGTAACATCGGCTGCAAAGCCGTCGGGTCTCTCGCCTTTATTTACATTATACAGTATTCAACAAAGTGCTTCGATATGTTCTCCTGACATGAAAGGCGCTGCATCAAATGCAAGGATTATTATTCTTATTATTATCATTTAATAGTTATTATTATTTATGTAACGTTTCAAAAGTAAATGTCTCCAGTCAACGATTTAAAATCTGACATTGCACCGGAAAGACCGGCAATTCACGGTGGAATTTCCACCATCGCTGATAAACGCAGAGCCTGGACGGACGTTGTCGGGATGGAGGCTCGACCCTGTCCGGCCAGTCTGCGGGCTCGCCGTGCGTACGTGCTACGTGTCTGCGTTGTGTTGATTTGTACGCGCGTAGGTTTGTACCTGCTGCAAAATCTCCTGTAATAGCGTGGAATCGCCGTTGTTCTGCAACCATTCTTGAAGTTCCTGGAGAGCGGGGAAGTGGGGGTGCGGTGGGGGGTGAAAACAAACAAGTAAACTCTTAATACAGAGTGGAGCTCGATAAACAGTCGCTTACAAAGAACGACGACAACAAATGCACAGTCACTTTACTGCGCTTTACAGTAACGATCCGGTGAAGCGGATGGAGAACTTGCGGTGTAGGGATTATTTTTTTCCCCGATGAACGCCTAACGGAGGAGCAACACTGCGATGCGACTTTCGAGAGAGAACGATTAATCGTCGTCGTCGTCGCGGAGAATAAATCCTCTCCTTGGATACGGCGCCTCATCTCGTCTTCGGGACGTCTCGAAGCCGCTCCGCGGGAGGGACGCACCGTAAAGTGAAGCCGACTGTAATGTTTTGTGGGCAATGAAAGGAAATGTCAAAGAGCTCTTCTCCTGACAATGGACAACAGCTGTGGGTCACTGCCTTTGGGTGAGTGTGTTGTGGGGGTGTGGGGGTGTTGGGGTGTGTGTGGGGAGGTGTGTGTATGTGGGTGGGGGGCTGTTGGGGTGTTGGGTGTGTGTGGGGGGGGTGTGTGGGGGGTGTTGTGTGTGGGGGGTGTTGTGTGTGGGGGGGTGTTGTGTGTGGGGGGGTGTTGGGGGGTGTGTGGGGGGTGTGTGGGGGGTTGTTGTGCGTGGGGGGGGGTGTGTGGATGTGTGGGGGGGGTGTGGGGGGGTGAGTTGTGGGTGCGTGGGGGGAGTGTGGGGTGTGTGTGGGGGGAGTGTGTGGGTGTGTGTGGGGGGGGTGTTGGGGTGTGTGTGTGGGGGGAGTGTGTGGGTGTGGGGGGAGTGTGTGGGGGTGTGTGGGGGTGTGGGGGGAGGAGGTGAAGTGGGGGCACAGTTCAGGCTCGGAACCAAAGGCCGGGGATCGCGGGCCCCGCGCGGGGCGGTTTGGATGTGGCACCGGAGCCACTCACTCACTCACTCACTCACTCACCGCCATCGGGAACATCTCCAGACGGCACATGGCGGAGAAGCAGCGATGGAAGGAGCCCGGGAGGCCCTGGCGCTGCCGCTGCTGCTGCTCCGTGACGGCCCCCCGGGCCCGAGCCCCCGCGGCCCCCCCGGCCCGAGCCCCCGCCCCCCCCGAGCCCCCCCCCGCGGCCCCCCCGGCCCGAGCCCCGGGCCCCGCGGCCCCCCAGGCCCCGCTCATCCCGCGCCAACAGCAGCTCCGAGCGGCAGCTCCCACACCGGCAACTCCTCCCCTCCCCACAGGGGGCGCCACACACACACACACACACACTCACTCACAGCACTGCTCACACTCACTGACCTGACTGATTGATTATGGGTTATTGATTGTGGATTATTGATTGATGGATTGATAATCTGATTGGTTCAATGTCAGTCAATCTGATTGACTATGGATTGATTAATTGATTGAGGGATTGAGTCATTGATTGAGTGATTGATTGATTGAGTGATTCATTGATTGATTGATTGAGTGAGTGATTCATTGATTGATTGATTGATTGATTGATTGATTGATTGTGAATCTCTTGACATGTGAATCACTGACCGATTGTGGATCCGAATCTGTTGACCGATCGATTGATTCCGAATCTGTTGACCGATCGACTGATTTGCGAATCTGACTCTCGTGACCGCTTTGTGACCCTCCGGCACTGTGAATCCCTCCGGTTTTTACGTCGGTCATAGCTATGGTCCTCACGCGTTGCACTGCGCGTTTCCCCGAAAGGGGGGAAGCGTCCGAAAACCGCTGCGCGCCGGACTTTCCGCAGAGCGTCGTGACCGTGACTGCGTTTTGTCGGCTTCCCGACCCGAAGGTGCCGACTGTCCCGGGGGGTACGGTCGTCAACAAACACGGAGCGGCTCTCATTACTTCGCCCCCCAATGAGCCATTCTTCTCGCGCGAGTCTGTAACGGTCAGTGTGGGCAGAGTATTCGACCGGCAAAGGCATCACGGCTAAGCCTGACGTTACCTCGCCGGTGCATTCTACGGCAGAGGCCACTCGATAGCAGAGTAGGGAAGAGAACCCACGTTTTATCTTTTCTCTAATCCTTCTCCAACCCCTAACTAGCAATGCAAGGTCAATTGGACCCATTTTACCACCTCATGCCGGGGCTCGAGCCTCCGACCTTTCACAGCTTTCGTTGACCCTGTTTCGCCCGAGCAGTTCATCTGCTTAACTGTGTTATTATCAGAGCAGTTATCGGTGACTTTCAAGGGTGCTATGTAAAAGGTTTATTTTACATAGCAAGTTGCCGTTGTGGTGGCCTCGAGAACTGGGGACTGGAGTGTACGAGTTTGCAATTGGATTATTTTTTTCTCTTCCCATCTGAAACGGAGGCAGAATATTTCTGCTCGTATTTTCTTTTGAAAAAAAAGCAAGGAAATGGACAAAATACCATTCGTGCACTGGGTGGTGGGAGGAACTGTTGGCACAATGGCCTTGGGTTAAAAAGCAACGTAACGCACTGCCAAAAACACCCCAAGAGTTTCAATTTAGCCCCAAACTGACAGTCTGCTAAATCGCAAGTCACATTTTAATGATCGGAAAGAGTTGCCTCAACAGTCTCCGGTCGTGAAAAAAGGGAATCCGACTTGGTTTTGGGGCACACTTTTTCGTGCGAGTCTTTGGAGCTCTGACTTCTCCTTTTCACCTCGATTTCACGTTGATGTACGCAATTCAATATCCTGCTGCGAGAGAGTGAATCATTTTACTGGAAAAAGTTAGCCTTTTTTTGAGCTGTGATGTGCTTACATACAACACAATAATAGTTATAATAACAATCCTTGTATTTGATATAGCGCCTTATCGCGTCGTTGAGACGTCTCAAAGCGCTTCGGAAAATATGGACGTGAAGCGGAGTGACTATATTTTGTGGGCGGAACGCGACAGCCCACATCATACTGACACGGACGGGGAACGTCTAATGAATATTTCACTCTCAGCAAACAGCGCACGCAGGTTACGTCAAGGCATACGTGACATTTTCCTGACCATTTCTTTATTGCATTACTTTCCGAAACAAATGGGGTCAAAAACAAATCCCACAATAGTTCGAGGCAGTCCAGTCGTTTTCATTTCATCAAACGTTCTATTTCGGACTCGTCACAAGGAGTTACAGGCAGGTTGTCAACATTGGGGAAAAAAATAAAACTCCCAGGAGATATTAATTGAAGTCAAATGAAGTCTGGGGTGAATAGTTTCTCTGAATCACCACTGAGAAGAAGTCAAATACACATTGTACGTCTGAGCTTTAGGATCAGACTGTTATACATTTATGTTTTTATATGAATCTTCAGCCAGTGAATTATTGAATCTCCCGTTTGGTTTATTATGCAAGCACTATTATTTATTAACATATTGCCATATTTTGGCAGTAAATAGTCGATAAATAGTCTGGAAATAGTATGTATCATATTTATTATTATTACTACCATAGAAAAATAAGGCATTGCAACCAAAAATCTGGTTGGATTAATTCTTCCAAACTCCTTGTGTCAACCATCATTTGAGGCATCTGAAGCAAATGATTCGGGGATTTTTTTTTTAGGCAAATATGTTTCTTTGATTCCTTCTCTCGGCCTGGTTATCTCTAAAGCGCTAAAATTGTTTGGTTACCCCCGACTAGTTCCGATCTGCTTCCGGGTGCAAGATGCAGGTCTCAGATATTCTAAGAGCTGCATCCCAATCAATTATTGGCGGTACGTTCCAGCACTCAGCGACCATCAACACAGCCTTTATGACTAAACAAATATATGTAATCGTACAGAAAACAGCAGTATAAAAGGAGGAAAATGTTCATCTGAGCGCTTCCAGCCCACATTGCCCCAAGGAAAATAAATTCTCCCAACGAACAATTTGGCTTTTCAAGATTGAATGTACGCATCAAAGTCATTCAAAACAAGATATTCAAATTCATTTGAATACACTGCTGGGATGGGATTTCATTACCCAAAAAGGATTTTTCGGGGGTAGTTCACAAACCAGATCGAGTTGTTTGCGAAACTCCTTCCAACTTTGTCTCAAAACTCTGTTTGTGAAATAACTTTTTCATCCATGTCTGTGTGAGGGTTTGCTCTTTTGGACCTGGAGAAGCAAAATGCAGTTAAAACGCTGTGTCAACAGCAGAACTTGTTATCGATGGCGTTGGATTTTCGAGTTGTGCGTCAAAAGAAAATATTTTGATTTGTACACGGTATCCTACCTTTGTTCAGTGCACACGCTCGCTGGGCTGAAAGCAAGGGCTGTGTTCCCATAACCCCTACAATCCCCAAGTTACACGTGTTGCACTGTATCGGAATGATGATCTCTTTTTCCCCAGTGGATTTATTTCCTCTCGCTCGGTACAACAGATCTTATGTAGCCACAGGGCAAGTAGCTTTGCATCTCTCCTCACTATCTCTGATCAAAATGTTATCTGTTATGGTCCCTTAGTGTTTCTGAGCCTGCAAATCACTTTGCATCTCTAGATGTCTGTTCTTCAGTCACCAGCCATCCATACTGTAGGTTTCATCATATAAAGCATGCTTAATCTATGTTTACAGCTTGTCCAATGCATTTAGTACAATGCAGTATTTTTGTCAAAGGCGAAAACCACATTCAGTTAAAAGAATCAAATGTTTCTTACCGTTTGCCTCGTTGAATAAGAGTGTGCGAGACGTACACAATGAATGTCAGGAACAGAAGGGTAGTGACAGCACTTAGTCCAGTAGTTGCAGAGTATCTGGTTGACCTTGTGGAAACTTTTTTATCTGTTTTTTTAAAAAAAGGGGTCACTTATATTAAATATAACTTGCTGTTTCTGAAAGAGTACTTTACATATGTGTTGGTACAATTAAAGTTCTGCTTCATGAAACTCTCTCTGAGTATAATTCTGCTACATAAACAAGAGTTAAGTATGTGGCTTACTTGAATTCACCAACATATCTTCTGTGATGGGCAATGAACCATTGTTAGGTTCTGGCCTGACTCCTAATAACTTGCACATCAGAGGATATATGTTAATGCTGTCAAAGGGCTCTGACAGATAATTGCTCTTAAAATCTGGACCAAAGGCTCGAAAAAACATCTTCATATCCATTTCTTCGTTGTCAAATCCATGATCTCCCTTATTGACGTAAAGTATGATTCTCTGCAATGACAAATAAGCCACTTGACGCACGTTTCATCTCGTGTCACATTATTCAGACAGTTCAGTGGCAGATCGCTTGATACTGTGTCTTCTCTCCAGAAACCAACCGTTCACGGCGCTGTTCCTCAGATTAATCAGCAGAAATGGGACTTGCGAAACAGATTGCTGCGATATAATTTAAGCAAAGTTGTCAAAGGAAAATTATTGGATTGTAATAATTATATAAATTATTATTATAGCCAGTCATTTGTCAGCCTGGGTTGCTTGGAAATGCCACCTGCGATAGATTGCTTTGGAAGAAGAAAGAACGATTTGAAATCGCCAGAATTTGAAATGGGCACAAACTGGTCATAATAATCCTTGCGTTTTTGATACAGCGCCCGATCACGTCTTCGAGACTTTCCCACGGAATATAACTGGAAAGTGATTTGACTCTTGTGTCTTGTGTGCGAAACCTACTGTGTTTTCGGATTACCGGATTTTTGTTTTCAATGGTATAACTTCAGAAGAGAGAGAAGTCGACTTGTCACTCACCCCATTTATGTTGTAGCCAAGGTCTCCATAAACCAGGATGGGCATAATCCGCTCGTTTTTACTATAGTGAAACCTCTCGGGTAATTCTGCCTTTTTGTACACTTTCAGATGAGGATGTGCGCCCTTCAGGGATTGGTAGATCTCTTCTTCCTTCCCTTCACGTGGGAAAATTATTCCGAACCCTCCGTAGTCCAATATCTCCAATTTGATATTTGTAAAGTTGAGAAAATTTGACAATTTGATCTCTTCGTAATCGGGAGCTTTCTTTATCGTGGTCATGCCATGATCAGAAGTCAGTATCACATTTAGGCTATCCGTCAGGTGGTGTCTCTCAATACTTTCCACCAAGTAACCGATGGTTCTGTCGATCTGCCGAACTATAGCACGCCTCTCCTCCGTCTCTGGTCCCACTTGATGTCCAACCCCATCAGGTTCCCCGTAGTAAAGAGTTACAAAATCAAAGTCTTCCTTCTCAAACCAGTCCAGGACGATGTCTATGTTCAATCTCCATTCCGTCTCATTGGCGTCTGGATGAGTTAGGGATTCTCCCAATGATCTGTACACTGTCTGTCCATTGTAGGTCACGTTTCCTCCAGGATAATGAAATGATGCAACTTTTTTTCCCTGTGGGAAAAGTTCACAAGATCCGTTCTTTATTACGATTTTTTTTTGGAGCTCACCAGAATAAGATGCTAAGAAACTAAGAAGATCGCAACACTCGGGTCCTCCTAGAGGTTCATCGGTCAAGACACAGAGCGCTGAGACATGGGCAGATCAACAACAACAACTTGGATTTATATAGCCCCCCTCACCAGGGTAGCGTCCCAGAGATCAGAAAAGTTCTAGCTTTGATCCTCTGTCTGCGTTGAGTTTTGAGTATCTTAAATGTTGTCATTTTCTCACTAACATCATAATATAGGGCCTTTCACTTTGAGACATCATCACAAAGCGCTTGACAGGATTTACTGTAAAGTGTAGTGACCGTGTATTTTGTAGGTGAGCGCCTTCTGAACATTTGAACACAGTTGTGCGACAAACATTCCTGGGTGTTTCCAACATGCCTGAACGACTCGACTTCACAACATGTCACACAGGTAGAAACAACAAAATGTTTCAAAGCCATTCGAAGTGTCAGGTCGTTAGAAGATATTTTTAAAGCAATTTCAACCGAAACAAAAAAACAGAAGTACAGTATATCTGTCCATCCGCATTGAGCTCAAATGTGGGGATGGATGTGCAGAGATACGAGAGGGGGAAGCAAAATCCTGTGTGCAGAGCGGCAAAGAGATGTGACGGAATTGGTCAAATTAGGCACACAATCGCTCTCTACTGCACCACGAGTAACAACAATTTGTATTTATATAGCGCCCTGCACGCCAGATGACATCTCAGAGCGCTTAGCTCCTGTACCAGTAAAGATCATTGTTGGAGTAAAGTGGGTATAGGGATCATTGGGAACGGAAACAACATTTCAATGCTAGAAATTCACAGAGAAAAACCGACTGCGCTGCAAATCGAGGCTTGGAAATCCATGCCTGGTACACACCTGGTTCTGAGCAGTGATCCACAGTGGGAGGACTCCGTTGTCCCACCATGCTGATTTTTGAAGCGTGATTTTGTGAGGAAGTTTGATCAGAGTTTTGCTGTTGTAAAGCATGTTGTGGACCACGCCATGTTCCTCGATCCATCGTCCTATCAAAAAGGAAAACCACAGATTTAACTCGGTAACGCGAATAAAAATGGATTTATCAAACATGGGCGGTGCTCTGAGCAGCAAGCTATGCAGTTTTAGCTGGTTAGACTCCAGCAGTTACCCCAGCGCATATACTGGGGTCCTCAAGCCTTGGCTCTTGCCAACCTAATACTCTCCGGAATTAGTTAAGCAGGATGCGTGCCTCCAGAGAGCAAGGATTCCTTTCCAACAAACATCTCTGGAATTTCCGTGGAGATAGGTGGGATCGACTGTTAAGCATGGTGACAGGTGTCCGCGTGTGTCAGACACCCGGCTGACCAAAGGAAATCCGAACAGCTGTCGTCATAATGTTCTTTTTGGAGGGTAAAATTATGCAGATTTTTCTGGTGGTTCTGAAATTCCCCTAAGTGCTTTTTTTTATTTGTCTCGCTGCATGACTCGAGCCATCTATTCCTGTGAGTCAACTTCTAACATTGGAGAACGTAGAAGGCAATGGCTCTCCAATTACATGCACTCAAGCGGTGCTTGAAAGAATGAAGCTAATGAACAGTTTTGAACATCGTTCCTCGATAGACTGTTCGCCCTCCATCACCAACAACCGTGCCTTGGAATAAATAGCACAACAGAGTTTTTTTTTAACACAGAAAAAGCAGCTCAACCATTGCAGATCACAACAGGATTGGACGTACGTATAAGTCCTTGTGTGTCTCGTTAGTGAACTTGGAAAGAACGCAAATGCGTCCTTGTTTCTCACAATATTGAGCTTTGACCACAAAATTATATCTTTCAAATTTCACCTGTTAATAACTGGAACAACATTAGCAGAGCGGAAATAAATCTTAAATAATAATATTACAAAAACAACAACAAGATTTCATTTATAGAGCGCCTTTCACGTTGGGAGGACGTCCCAAGGTGCTGGACAGTTGGGTCAGGACCCGGGCATTGGGGGGGAAATGGTCAGGGTGAGGGGAGGGAAGGGAGGGAGCGAGGAGGGGGTAGAGAGTCGAGAGGGGAGCTGAAGGTACGGTCAAAGAGAAAGGTCTTGAGACCGGCCTTGAAGGAGGAAAGGGAGGAAGCGGCGAAGGCACTGGGGATGGAGTTCCAGAGCCTCGGGGCTGAGAGGCTGAAGGCCACCGATAGTAGGGCGGTTGGGGCGGGGGATGTGGAGCAGATGGGAGCCAGAGGGACGGCGGGTACGGGCAGGTAATATTAATCCTTGCATTTGATATAGCGCTTTTCACATTTTCTAGATGTCTCAAAGCGCTTCACAGAATATACTGTAAAGTGAATTGACTATATTTTTTGGCAGCCAATTGCGCACGGCAGCGTCACACAAACAGTCGTGGATTGAGCAACCAATTGTTTTTTTTCTTGAGGGATTATTATCAGGCGTGCGGAGTAAGGAAACTTGCCCAACTTTTCGCCCTGCCGGGAATTGAACCCACTTGAGAGGCAAGTGCTCTAACCACTGAGCTACAGGACTCCACTATGAATAAACCTTCAACTTGTAATTTCATACGTATGTATACAAATGAAACCATATGAATATATTGATGAAGAAATGATACAGCAACTTGGAGGCTTAATGAAGTGAAGGTTACATTGATTTTTCTCGCAGACTTTTACAGATTCCTGCTCCACAGGAATGGATCCATACATACAATTATGCCACATACCATTAATAGGTTTACCAGTTCTCCTTATTACCTTCTACCACTTTGACAAAATCTTTACGCTTGCTCACCAACCATAGACACATTCGTTGTAAACATTGTGAACGAAACTAAGTGCGATTGAAACGATATAATGATAAATATTCCTTGCATTTGATATAGCGCCTTATCACGTCTTCGAAAAGTCTCAAAGCGCTTCACAGAATATATTCCTCCTTAAACTTTTCCCATGAGGGAGCAAGTGGGTGGCAACAGAGGTGGGAGGGAAGGGGGAGAGTGGGGTACTTGAAATTTTCAATTAGGGTTCACCTGTGATCATGGTGAAATGTGAAGGCGATGTCATGGTCACAAAAGGAGGATTGATGTACTTAGCCTTCACTCCCTTCGTAATTAACTTGTCCAGGTGAGGAGTGTCCACGTCTTGGTCGTAGTCCCAGCGAAAGCCGTCGAACGAAATCAACAGCAACTTCTTAAACGTCTGCCCATTCCTGTTCTGCAGGACCGGGAGGCTGTTCACTGCAGTCTCCAAAAGCAGAGTCACTACAAGAGAAGTTAACAGCTTCATGCCTGAACTCTGCTGTGACACCCTCGACTGAGCCCGAGCGCTGAAATATGCGCTTTTATGCTGTGAATTGACTGTGTGCAAAGATTAGACTTGGGGTCATATTCCAATCAACCGAGTTTATCTGATAATTATTCTGAAATATGTTCAGAGGCTTATAACAAGGTCATTGGCCTTCAATAACGCAGAGCTTTGGATATACAGGTGAGATTTGTTTGTGTGTGTGTGTGTGTATTAGGGGATTATTGGGTATAAGGGTATTAGTGAGTTTTTAATCAACAACAACAACTTGGATTTATACAAAATCGAGATTAGTTTAGGGTTAAGACATGAGCCAGACTCCATTCTCCTTACTCGCTGTCCCTTTGACTTCAGGATTCCCTTTGGCACCGGATGGGCCAATGCTTTTTGAACAGGTGCAAAGTGATTTTGCACTCTTTAGCGTCGCATGTATCTGCCTTGTCTGATTTTCCACCTCTGGCCCCAGCCCAGAGTATCGCAATTATCTTCTGAGTTGCTTAATTAGGGGTGCCATATTAGCAAATTATGCCGCATTAGCAACTCTGCCTCCAGTAAAAGCAGAACAAGTGCGTTGAGCAATTAAAGGCAGATTTTTGCCAAGGCCAAGCGACCTCAGGTGGTGAGGCAGAGGCAGAACCTGATCCCAGTGCGGGAAAAACACGGCTGAAGAAGACTACAGATTGACGCGATGTGCTCCTCGGGACACAGAGAGAAATCTTTGCAAGATGGAGATTCATGAGACGGATGGGATGAGTTTTATTGACACGTGTCTGCTTTCTCCTTTGTAGGTTCATGGCTTTGTTTAACAAACTGCAAGAGACGTGTGGGATTGAATAAAGCCGACCTTTATTGATGTATAGGCAGACCTACGAGCCAAATTCTTACGTTAATTTAATAAAACAAAATCTGTCGTTTGGAACAATCTTGCCAGTTGTGCGCCAGAGGTATATGGAACCTGGCCCTTCACTTGAGTATCTCAATGAAAAAAGTACCAAGAAGCAATGCTGGATCTCTCCGCCATTGGCTTTTTTCAGTGTCCGCGAGAGGTAATAGACGCCTTGTGTTAGTTGGAAGTTACAGCTTCAACTCTGTTACAAGAGGGTAACCTTCTTGTTGGTCCTGTCTTTGATTACAGCACACAGTACGCCTCACAATGACTTGTCTAAACCGGGGTGACGATGTGTAGATAGCCTCGGTTTTATCCGACGCTAGATCTTGACAAGTGGGTGTCCCTTGTGAATTTCGAACACTTCAGTTGATTTATTTATTGCGAAATGAAAGTGAGTCAATGTTTCGGGTCTACGACCCTTCGCCAGGACATTAGATGATGCCTGACCTGCTGAGTGTTCCCAGCAACTTCTGCTTTTGTTTCAGATTTCCAGCATTTACAGTATTTTACGTTTGATTGATTGATTGATTGATTGATTGATTGATTGATTGATTGATTGATTGATTGATTAAATGGCCAAGGACAGAGATTTTCTTGCAGTACGAAACAAGTGGGCTATCAGCGCTGACAAAAACTTTTCTTACAGTAGACTGTTGAACACCTGTGAATGGACTTTGCTTAGTACAACAGTTGGTAAAGGAATTCCCCAAGTCTGACTGCAAAACATTGTCAGCTCGCATATTTTAACAAGGAGCTCAGACTAACTTTCCATGTGTGCACGGCAATTGAAGCTTCTGTATTTCCCTTGCAACTTCACTCAAAGTTTCGATCCCTTGCACTCGTTGCTGAAACATGGACTACTGCTGCAACCCCAATAAAATATAAAAGATAGTGTCAGAGTTACTCTAAAGGAAACTGCTCTACTTTACATACGAACAATCCTGAATTTCCTTTTCTGACCAGAGTCCATCCTCTCTCACGCAACCTCTTGCAGAATTCCCTTTTGGCCCCATTGAAATCTCTGCCGTCGTAATTGATTTGGTTTCCCAAACCCAATGCCTTGATCACTTTTGAAGCCTCTCATCCCACATTCTGTCAGCCCGCTCCAATTGTTTCAACAGTCTCCCGCACGTCTCATTCTTCTCCACATATAAGTTGTAAAGGACGTTAACTCACTTTCCTTTCTCCATAAGATGTTGCTTGACCTGCTGAGTGTTCCCAGCGACATCCCGTTAGATGGACCTTGGTCTTTTTTCGCCTAGCGTTTCTTACGTTCTTACGTTCTATCCTCATTGAGTCACCAGGAGCAGGGATATCTAGTTATCTCTGCCGCATCGTGTAAACCAGTCTAAAGTAGCTCAGGACTACAGTCTGAAAGTCTTCGCCACATACAGCCCTCAACATTTACTCGATCATAACCTTCCTCACTTATATTTTTAACCTCGCTAGCTATTTATTCCGATGCATTACTCTGCTCTTTAAGGATTCTTGTCCCGGTAAAATAACACGATTCATTATCAGATTACACAGCCTATAAATTTCAGACACAAAATACAATCCGTAGCGAGCAATGCAATTTGTTGCCGTACATCTTGCTTACTAAAAAAAAAAGCTTTTATTTTTGCTGCTGTTGTTTGCTGTGGCTTGCCGGGTAACCTCAACCCACTTGAGTGCTTCACCGCTTTGTGACACTTAGCAGCCCAACTAACTTGTGCGACCTGCAAAGTTTGTTCACTTTCCTCTCTCCGTAGATGCTGCCTGACCTGCTGAGTGTCCCCAGCCACTTCTGTTTTTACAATTAACATGGACGTTGCCTGCACTGCTGGCAAGGAGCTGCTCAGGCAAATCCACATTGACCTTATCTTGAGTTCCTAACCTCTGTGGGTGACCAAATCAACAACGTGTATTTATATGGCGAGGGGTAGCGTCTCACAGCTCTTAATACTTTCAGTGTGTGGGCACCGGCTACTCTCTCGCCTGTCTGTGTCTGGCTGTTCTGTTCGTGTGTGTGTGTCTTATTTCGAAATCGACGTTTTTATAGATTCGGAATGAATCCTGATTTTGAACCCAAGCCTCCAAACTGCGACTGAAGTTACAGGCGAGAGCGAACAAAATTGCCAGGTTAACCCTAAGCGAAAGGGCTGTTTAAACTCGCTTAACTTTGGGATCACTTTACCGAGGGAGGAATGAATGCAAATCGCAATGGTGGGGGGGGGGGGCCTTAGGTTTTTAAGTCATTGGATCTTGCAAACCTTTGAGGTTGAAGCCAAATTGTATCATCACAACAGCCTTAAACATCCACACAGTGGGGTCTTTTCAGCAACCTTTATCTCTGATGTTGCTTGTGCTGCAATATTACGATTTTCCGAACACCAGCTTTAATCTCCGACTTGGAATTGGTTCAAATTTGATTGCGTTTAGGAAACAGGCCAATGCTTTGCTCCCCTGTTTATGAAGGTTCCCGCAGGTCAACTCGAAAGGGATCAGCTTCGAGGTTACGTGAATTTTAAGTTACTGCCTGCGCACGACCTCGACTGCATCTCGGATGAACAAGAAACGTGATCCACATGAAGCTCTTCCAGCTATATCGCCTCAGCGAGAAATGATGCGTAATAGTAATGAAAAAGCGAGATTTATCGATGCTAGCTGTTTTTAAACCGGAAAAGTCGTATTTTCAAGTGGCATTAAAGCAATTTTTTAAAATATTGCCAGTGCAATAAATGTTAAGGTGATGCGTCATAACTCAGAGAGACTTTATTCTTCGGGCATAAACTTTTTAATATCCACTTTGCAATGGATATTAAAAAGCAAAGGGTGGTCTGTGTCATAATAGAAGGTGGTAAATCCTGTTATTACAGCAGTTTTGTGGATTTTCAGTTTCTTTCAGTGCCGGTTGTATAAAATTGCTTCAGCTTGGCACGCAAGGCAAAAATATTCAGAATATTCATGGCTAATAATAATAATAATCCTTGCATTTGATATAGCGCCTTATCTCATTTTCGAAACGTCTCAAAGCGCTTCACAGAATGTATTATTAAGTGAATTGACTATATTTTGTGGGTATATTTTGATATCCATGGATATACAGCGAATGCAAATGATGCACATTCCTTGTAAAATAAGTGTATGTATGCCCTCGGAACCTGATTGAAACAAAATACTTGATTCTTTTATTCTGATTTATTGCCTGATTTCTTCCCGTTGTCGTAAGGGAGAAGAGAACGGAGGTAGATTAAGGGAAGAATTATCTCTCGTAGTCTGTTGTGAACCAACTGAATCAATTTCTCTGCCATATCTGCTGGTGATGAATTTTAAGTTTGCACCACAGCAAAAGCTGTTTTATCGGCAAGAATTTAGATACTGCAATTTGCGGAAATAAAACGAGTGTCTGAGCTAAAGCAATCATTAGATTGCTCATGCTCCGGTAACATCTCCGGCCGTGTTTGCCTCTATCTGCTTTTTTTTGTTGTGGCTTGGTTTGGTATTGGCTGACAAAGCCTTCGTTGTGTAAGTTAATCAAATTAATTGTAAGGAAATTGGCCGATTAGCCTTGGACTTCAATAAAATCGGTCACTCACTCTACGGTCGTTTGTGGGACATTGATTGCTGTGCGCAAACCAGCTGCCGTGTTTCACCCAGGAAAATACACAGTCACTCCACTTAACAATGAAGGGCTTTTGAGATGTAGTAAGGAGCTATATCAAACCCAAGGATTATTATTACTATTATTGTGGAAAAGGCACGTCGACTCAGAGCGTGACTCGGCCGTGCTCAGCCAAGTCAGACTCAGTACCTAAGCTTACCAACTACCCGCCATTAGTATTCCTCAGGGTCAGGGTAAAAATGCTCAACTACAATGGACAAGAAGTTTCAATATTAAAGTAGGTCACTTGCCACTAACAGTGTAAAAAGAGATGCCAAAGACCATTATTATTGCAGGCTGGCAAAACACTCTGCCTGCTACCCAAAGGACAATTCTGCTGTATACTGGAATCCTGTTGGAGACTGTCATTTAGCCTTGAAAACTGAACGAATAAATAAATGCAGCAATTATACAGCAAAGGTCACAGGGATGAAGGGTTGCTGACTCGGTCTCGTTGCCTAATTCAGTTACCTTGCTGATAAGATT